CTCGCTCAGAGGACAGCGTACGCCATTTTTTTTACCAATTCTGGACTACGATAGCCCTGTGACAGTCAATGCCTACAACGTCAGTAAATTTGTGTGAGAATTTCTAGGTATATAGAGTCGCTGCATGCATAGAATCATTTTTTAGCACTTTTGTGGCTTATACCAGGCGTCTTCTAAACCGCAAGGATGCATGCTGCTTTTGGCTTTGTGACAAGCGCTGTGGCATTATCACAAAAACAGATTTTCTAACTACGTTATAAAATAAATGTGCTTTAAATATTTGGGGGGGGATCAGTCTTCGATGATTCGCTCTTTAAACCTACGGTAAACAAATACCGTTCCTTAATGTCTCCACTCCCTCCGTTTCTTAATGTCTTAATGTCTTAATGTGTTCCTTAATGTCTCCACTCCCTCCGCACCGTTTCTGAAATGCGGTAATTCCCGGTCCTTTCGTTTCCCCTCTTTACCGGTCAGTCTACATCATGGTCAATATACGTACCAATGTTCACCATTAGCACTCTGCAAGCGTATCGAGGGAGTCCAGCTACCGACCTTGGAAACGACGTCGGGAGAGAAAAATAATAATGCCCCCTGCCACGTGCCGAGGACGGATTAATATTTTTCTTCGCTTTGAATTGAATGCTTCATTTCGTATGCGACTGCTGAACTTGACATCCTTTCACAGGTGCCCGCGCCGCCGCCACCCGACGTTACCAAACTAGAACGTGCGCTGCCGGTGTCGAGGCATGCGCGGCACTTGTCTGCGCTGCGAACAAACCACATGGGCGCGCATGCAGTAAATGAGAGGAAATAAGATTAACCGGCTTCCAGACAGCACCCGTTCGCAGCTGTTGCAACATTCGGTGCACGCAAACTTACATTGTAAGGTACTGGATTACATACGAAGTGTTTCTTGACAGGAAGGGTACCAGAACCGTGGAAGAACGCCGACATCGTCTCAATAGATAAGAAAGGAGACGTCAAGGACTTGAAAAATTAGAGGCCGATCAGCATACTGTCCGTTCTCTACAAACTATTTACAAAAATAATTGCCAATAAAATTAAGGCGACATCAACCAAATGACCAAGCAGGATTTTGTACAGGTTACTCCACAATAGACCATGTTCATACTATCAATCAGGTAATAGAGAAATGCGCTAAATACAACCAACCCCTGCACATAGACTTCCTGGATTACGAAAAGGCGTTTTACTCAATCAAAACATCCGCAGTAATGCAGGCACTACGAAATCAGGGAATCGAAGTAACCTACATAAAAATACTGGAAGGAATCTACAGTGGATTCACAGCCTCGATAGATCTACATCAAAAAGGAGAAATTATTCCAATAAAGAAGGCTGTAAGGCAGGGAAACACGATCTCTCTAATGATATTCACCGCGTGTTTGCAGGAGGTTTTCATGACCTTAGATAGGAAGAGTTAAAGATAAGAGTTAATGGAGTATATCTTAGTAACCTGTGATTCGCTGATGACATGGCCTTGATTAGTAACTCAGGAAACGAATTACAGCTCATGATTACTAAACTGGGCACAGAAGGCAGAAAAGCAGATCTGAAAATCAATATGCACGAAGCTAAAGTAATGTGCCACAGTCCCGGCAGAAAACAGCACTTTGCAATAGGAGGAGAGACGCTGGAAGTTATAAACAAATATGTCCACTTAGGTCAGGTAGTAACTGTGGAGCCGAATCATGAGAGGGAAATAACTAGAAGAATAAGGACGGGATGGATCACGTTCGGCAAGCATTCTCAAACCACGAATGGTAATTTGCCACCAACCCTCAAGAGGAAGGTATATAACAGCTGCATCTTGCTGGTTTGCAACATACAGCAGAAACCTGGAAGCATACAAAGAGTTTTCAGCTTAAATTGAGGACGACGGAGACCCTTTGCCGAAAACGTAAAGGGAAGAGGATTATGCCACCAAGAGTGTCAGTGCGAATCTTAGCTAAGTGTTATGGCACCATAGAGTTTACGGTTTGTGTGTGTGTGCGTGTGTGCGTGCGCGTGTGTGCGTGCGCGTGTGCGTGTGCGCGTGTGCGCGTGCGTGCGTGCGTGTGTGCGTGCGTGTGCGCGTGCGTGTGCGCGTGCGCGTGCGTGCGTGCGCGTGCGCGTGCGCGTGCGCGTGCGTGTGCGCGTGCGTGCGTGCGTGTGCGTGCGTGCGTGTGCGTGCGCGCGTGTGCGTGCGCGTGCGTGTGCGTGCGCGTGCGTGTGTGTGCGTGTGCGCGTGCGCGTGTTCGTGTGCGTGTAGCGTTGTCACTTTTCCAAAATAACTGCGCGTCTTGCCTTCTCTATTTGCGCCGCGCCATCACAATGCGATAAGGGGCGTCCCTCTTCCTCTCTTTATCAGTTAATGGAGTCCTTATCACTACATACATCTTTGCCCTCTAGATACTGATACACGTACACGCGCGGGAGCCTTCACTGAATCATGCAGGCAAACACCGGCCGCGCTTCACCGCTCACCCCGCTGACACAGCCGACTTATTATGACAAGGTCACGCCACCCGCTACGCAGCTGCAAATGGTCCACCCTGTATGTGGCGGCTTTGCTCGATACGTAATCGAGCGCACTTGGCTTGCAGCCCCTCCCCCTCCTAACTACCTCCTCTCTCTTCTTGGGCGATGCGCTTCCTTGTTAGCTCCACTGTCCTAAGTGGCCCCCTAAGAAAACAACAAACCCCCTTTACCGCCCACCTTTTTCTCTCCTCTGGCCTTCAAGAAACAAACGTGCCATTTCATGCTCTTGTACATTATCATAATCGCCTGTCATAGGTTTACCGCATATAGACCATGGCACGTGTCAATGTCATAATATTAAAGGTGTATAAGTTTTGTGCTTCGCATAGCGATCGACTTTAGGTCACTTGACGGTTATAATATAGTCACCTTTCACGTTATTGTCTTAGTGCCTAGTGTTACCTATATGTATGTTGTACGCACGTTTCGTGCCCAGGGTTTTTAGGTCCATTTACGGCCACATTACGGATACATTACGTCTACCCATTGCCCTCAATGGTGCCATTACGTCCACCGCGTAGTCTATAGCACCAGTGACGTAGCCAAGGGGTACGTCACTGGTACCCCTTGGCTTGTACCCAATTACCCCTTGCCTGATACCCCGTCACTGCGTACCAGTGACGGGGTACCCCTTGACTTGGGTACCTGTCAAGAGATACTCCTTGACTGGTACCTCTTGAAATTGGGTACCAATTTCAATTGGTGCCACTGATACCAATTGGGTACCAATTTCAAATTGGGTACCAATTTCAATTGGTACTACTGGTACCGATTGTGTACCAATTTCGGGAGGGGCGTGCCCCTCCTGAAATTTTATCTCGCCATGGCATAGAGCTTCAATTGTCCATTTAAAGAAGGTGCCCTCTTAGTCCGCAACGCTGTGTCAGTGGATAAGGTGCTCGGCTGTTGGCCAGAAGGTCGCGTGTTCGATCCCGGTCGCGGCGGTTGCATTTCAATCAAGGCGAAACGCTGGAGGCCCATGTACTGTGCTATGTCAGTGCACGTCAAAGACCACCAAACGGTAAACATTTTCGCAGCCCTCTACTACGGCGCCTCTCGTCATCATATCTTGATTTTGGGACGTAAGGCCCCCGACATCGTCATTACCCAAGAATGCGTCATAGCCGTACGCGAAGAGTGAAGGATGTACTGCGTACTACGGCAAGTTGCGCTCCGGGCAAGGCAGGGGCGACAGCCATTATTCGCCAGTTCGTCAATTATCGAGATTGATAATTACCGAAGCACTTTTCGTCGTTGCTGCCTCGCCCAAAGGGACCTCGCCCAAATGTCGACTCTAAGCATCTCGGCCAACAGCATTGATGATTGATATGTGGGGTTTAACGTCCCAAAACCACCATTTGATTATGAGAGACGCCTTAGTGGAGGGCTCCGGAGATTTCGACCACCTGGGGTTCTTTAACGTGCACCCGAAATCTGAGCACACGGGCCTACAACATTTTCGCCTCCATCGGAAATGCAGCCGCCGAAGCCGGGATTCGAACCCGTGACCTCCGGGTCAGCAGCCGAGTACCTTAGCCACTAGACCACCGCGATGGGGCTCGACTAGCAGCAAGAAACACCGTTGTTTATACAGCATGCTGTAAACAACGGTGTTTCTTGGTGGTGGTCGAGATGCTTAGAGTCGACATTTGGGCGAGGTGCAAATACTTGGAGCGGCGTCTTCATTACTTACACGATAAGATCAATGTTGTACATACGTCGTCGGGCTGAAGTTGTTTTGTTCGTGTCGTTTATATCGGCTCAAGACTGGTTTCACCATGAAGGCCTATTATATCGAAACCGTGCGACATTGTAGAGCATCAAATACGGAAGTGACCCAATAAGGCACGCCACTGTAGGTGACATAAACAAAAAAATGACAAAAAGAGATGCAATAAGATACGACACCGTACAGTCCTGGTGAAATATCATCAGGCCTTGCTTCCATTGAAATACATGGAGCAGAGTACTGGGAAATTTGGACTCTTCCTGTACATGGTGTCACTTTTGGACATGTTTTACTTGTGCTATCATTAAAACACGACAACCAAAGCCGCGTTTGTTTGATAAAACGCAATTGGACGTATTGAACAGTAAACTTGAAAAGTGGAAACCAATACAAGCACATTTTAGAACAAGAAAAGTGTTGTGAGTCAGCGTGATTTAGTCGAAAGGAGATGAACTTTAAGGCGAAGTGCTACGCAATAATAAATTTGTATTTTAAGTACTGTGCGTGTACTTGACTCCTGGTGATGTGAAGTAACGACGTTGGTTACTATATCTCCCCGACTTGGATACACACACTGTACGCCTTTCCCAGGAATGCTGGCTAAAACTGTTGTCTCGGTCTATTGCGTCGACAACGTATCTGTAAAGTGCAGATGGCAATTCGGTATGTCATTCGTGCAGGAGCCTTTCTCGCCTCCGTTCTCACTTCCTATTGGTTCTCTCACTTACAGCGGATGGCGATGGCCGACGCAAGAGCTCGGCCAGCGAGGACACGCGAGGCAAGTTCGGCAGCCGCATCGAGTCGCTGCTCTACTGCATCGGCTTCGCCGTCGGCATCGGCGACGTCTGGCGGTTCCCCATCCTGGTCTACCAGAATGGAGGAGGTGCGTATATGCGCGCGTACTTGTACACTGTCACGAAGTCGCAACATTTACGAAGAAAGCAGTCACCTCGTTCAATGTAAAACTCCTTACATAGACGAACTTGAGGCCGGGAAATGTAAAGTCAAACTGCAGGCAATACACATTGTGCACTGATAGCGACGGACAGCGTATCGACCGTCGATAATCTGAACCGCGACAAAGAGCGTCGGTATAGATACATGCAGCATCAAACATTCGAACATTGTCACTGGCTTCCGCGTTTGTTCGAGAATAAAAATTAATGGTTCGCGTTCGCGCGCTCAAGCCCAAAATATTAACCTAAAACTATCTATAGAATTGTCTAGCTCAGTGATAGACTGGTTTTTTTTAAATAAAGTTGATTTAAAACCATCCGGAGCTGGCATCGCTGTGTGTCGTAGCAAGCGCAGCTGCACAGGACGTCAACTTGACCCCGGACCATTTTCTGTGCAGAAGATACTAGGACCTTGGGCATCTGCCTCAGTTGCGCAGAAAGCAACTAAAGCACTGCTACTTTACCTTAAGTCCACAAACCTGAGCGACCGCCTGTAGACTGTGTGTGCTCCCCGAGTGTGCTCGTGATTGTGTGTACCTTCTCATCTTTCTGCAACCTCTTTTCTCCCCTTTATCCCTTCCCCAGTGCTGGGTAGCAAACCGGATGTGCGTCTGGTTAACCTCCGTGCCTTTCCTGGCATCTTTATCTCCTTCTCTCTCTTAAATAAAGCTTTTTAACACGAAGGTGCTTTACGCCGGGCTTCACCATGGCTCCACTGACGTATTTTCATCACGGATATCACGTTGTAAAATGTATACTAACAGACTTAAAAGAAAAAAAAAGACAAGGAAAAGTTCCGCAGCGTAACGTCGAATCGGCGACCTCGCGCTTCTCAATGCGCGACGCTAACCATTAGGCCACAGAGTGACACTTATGCAGCATGTTAACGGCAAGCCATTTATAAACACTACGCTCCACTGGCGGGTCTCAGAGCTCGGCAACTACAGCGCGTTTTCGTCACCAGCAGTGAGGTGGCACGGCGGGCGCACAAGTTGCGCACGCGTGCTCTAAAGGTCGACGTGCGGCGCCACCCCGCGGGCCTCCACACGGCGTGGTCAAAGTGCGTATATATGTTCTCTAGCGTGCTGCCTCACTCGTGCGCGCGCATATCACGGGATTCGGGCGCTTTGTATCTCTTGTGCTTTCGCCGCAAGTTTGATTTGAAGTTAGAGTGGTTTAAAAGAGCGCGAACGTCTCCTCGCTCGCTGCCGCGGCCGCGTTTACAAAAAGAGCGCGCTGCTCACACACAAATAAGTAAGAATTGTGACAGTTGTTCGCGCTCGTCTTGTGTATACTTCTGTGTTTGTTTCGTTCGTCTTTCCTTCTGTTTGAGCAGCGTGCTTAAGTGTCTAGCTCTGAAAGTCCTTCTGGTTGACGTGTGCGCTTCAAGTTTCGAGCTGCGTGCCGTTCTTCACGTGGCATTGCGATTTGTTGCCGTATAGCATTCAGTCCGTCGCCCTGGAGGTGAAAAAATGCAAAATGAACGCTCATCTACCTTTGCGAGCATACGTTTCACTTTCGTATTATACCGGTTCCTAAAATTAGGAATCAGCCAAGTTTTTTTTTTTTCCTGTCTCTATTCCAGACATTCTGGCGCAGATTGCACAAGACAGTATCTATACGCGTGCAATAGGCCGGCAACGTAAAACATAGAAAGCTGCGTGTGTGGCAATACTCACGCTAGTATAATTAAGATCACATGTCATGCCATCCCGTTTGAAGGCCGCCGCTTACAAGTGGCCTAACTTAGCCGGTATTTCTTTTTGTTAGATTCGGGTGTTATTTAACCTTGTGCCAGAGGGCCCATGATGCGGCGGTCGGGCTTGGCCTGACTGTCCCAATGTGGGAGCGGCCCGCTACGCGTTGAGTCGTGCACCTCGGGACTTCAAATAAAGTATCGCATCCATCCATACACCCATAGCAAACTGAGGCTGGTTGAATTAACATGCAAATGTAGTTCACTTGCAACCATTCACACTGCCATAAAGCGTTCGCACGCACATCTTTCTATTTCTTCTCACAGTATATGTGCTAACATACCATTCTATATATCTGAAGCCCTAGCTGTATATACATACTGGATATCCCTTCCCGCAAAAGAAAAAAAAAGGACGGGGGGGGGGGGGGGGGGGCTTTTCAACCTGCTGCCGATGCTCATACGTTATAGCACACATTATACTCCTCGGCCTTCTACAACATACGGTGCTGCGATAGCGAAGCATTCCAGATGAGCAATGGCAGTACCTTCAACGCTATGGTATGCTAGTTTTTCTTTCTCGCAATTCACGCAGGGCGTCAAGTCGGTCACTCGATCATTCCAATGCTATTTTTGCTTAAGCTCTCGTGACAGAAACGAATGTATCTCGCCTCCGAAGCGACTTGATTCCTTGAAATGCAAGTAACTTATATTAACCTCTGTCGATTACGCTTGCAAGTGTGGCTTCCTTTATTTTTACTTTAATAAAAGGTGACACGTCGTGACATTTCTGGGCGAACATGTGGAAATGCACTCGACTTGACTATTTCTCACACATGATGGATCGCTTACAACTTAGGCCGAAGGCAGGTACTTATCTTACAAGGCTATACCGAGTAAGCAGAACAAAGTGAATTAATACTCGAGGACAAAAACAGGACGGCAAGCGGCGTTCAGGCACACCATGGCGCTTTATCTATTCATCTATTTTATTCATCTCTTCGTCTATTCATTGTTTACCACTGCGCAGCAACGCTATGCTCGTCCACAACCTCGCTCTAATTCAAAGAGTAATATCGTTTTCGGTTCAGTGACCATTACACCCAGTATAAAACCACCTATCGTATTATTTAAAGTACATATAAGACCCGAAACAATTAAACTCACGTAACAAGAGTTGTCTTGTGACCTATTTCATCTGCGTGTGTTGTTTCTTGCACTGAAACCCTAGAAGGTTTCATACAGGATAGTACCAGCTCTACGAAAAGGATAATTGATAGCCTGTAAGCCTACAAAGACGGTTCAACATGAATTGAGGACGATGCAGTGAGCAATGGAAGGAAAATGATAGGTGTAATCTTAGGAGACAGGATGAGAGAATTGTTCGGGCACCAAACTGGTGTTAAGGACATGTTAGTCGAAATCAAGAAGAAATGGACCTCGGCAGAGCATGTGGCGCGTGTGCACGATAACCGCTCGTCATGAAGGATAACAGACATTCCAAAAGAATGCTAATGCGCGAGGGAGAGACAGAACGCTAGGTGCGCAGATGAGGTTAAGAAGTTTACGGGCAGCAAGCAAAGGACTGGGTTCGATTGGTGGAACATGGGAGAGGCCTTTACTCTACAGTGCGCGCAGTTGCAATGTGCTGATGTTGATTATGATGATATTTGACAACCACGTATTCTTAGCACGAAGCCACACGGCAACCCATATAGATTTTTCGGAAAGTAAGACTTCCTGTTGAAGATAATTTTGTCCTGGTCCTGGGGTCGGCCCCGGGGCCATCCATTCACTTTTTCAGTACGATCACTGCTACCAATTGAAGTAAATGGGATGATATATAGCACTAGTGGCTATTTCCTGTTTATGAATGGTGCGGTTTCTACTCCGGGACCCTATTGGCTTAGGGCCGTGGTCCTTTTCGCGGGCCACAAGGGACACCCTGGACATCCTGGCCAAGGCTGGACAGTGCCACCTCCCATCCATATCCACCGAAGTTATTGAAGACTTGTTTTAGATGGATAGCTCTGGCACTCCCATGACATGTGGTACGCTGTAGCTATGAGATAATGTTACATAATCCAGCATCTTGGTCCAGAATATTGCCAGTGTGCACTGCGTAATTACGCAAGGTGATGGAATTGCTAGAATCCTGGTTAGTTCTACTGGTAGAGCGACCGACCTCGAATGGCGTTGGTGCCTGGGTAGGATCTACGGACCAGGACGACTTTATCTTCACCTGTATAATATTTCCTTTCTGAGAAAGCCGTATGGCTTTTCTTGTTTTATCGTGCTACAAATGGATGGTTGTCGATTACACATTGCATAACACTTCCACCACCTTGTGGTATTCTACTGAACTCATTTGCAACAGCCCAGCTATCGACAGCTTATAGGACACCTGTTACCTTAGAGTAAACGTTGTCGACTTTATCCCAATGCGCTCGTGGCTTTTACACGTAGGTTAGCGGGGTCGTCCAATGTTCTAGTTATAGTGAAACATTTTCTAAAGTTTGTTCAGTTTCAGTTTATTTCGGACATAGTTACATGACATGAAATATGTCCACGAGGCAAGGCAAAAGGAGACTCGGGTGTCTCCTGACGAGGCCTTCACCCCGGACTTACACGTCGGACAGCCAGGAGCAAAAGCAGAGACAATAAGTACAATGCTCATTGCACAACTTAATAAACAAAAAACGAACAGTAAAAACAGCATTAGGACAAAAATTATACAAAGTTACATTGTTCAGGTTTAACAGTTTTATAAAGTTACATAAATATACAAAAACTACATATTTTCGTGTTCAAAGCAAAATAATTGTAATTTCAAGGAGGCAGGAAAAGTAGCTTTACTCGTTTTTCAAAACGAGACATACTTGAGTTCTGATTAGCCAATTCGATTAGGGATGTGTATGCATTAAGCAACGAAATAATCTGATAATCTAGTTTTAGTACCATAATTAGTTCTTGGTCTTGATCCCGTCAATGAAATAGTGCCAAAGTCATATTCCACTTGTCTGTTTAGATATTTGTTTGAGAACATGGTGCGATCACGTTTGGATTCGCGGAAAATCATTGCTGCAAAGAAAGCTGCTATAACTGTGAGAATGGTGGTACGTTCAGACTTTTATACAGAGAGTCAGTTCATGGGGGAGGATGGGAAGAAATCATTTTGAGGCTCCTTTTTTGTTTAGAGGAAACACGTTCAGCATCCGTCTTGTTGCACGTACCCCAGACTAGGTGACAATATGTTAAGTGGGAATGAATAAAAGCGAAGTACATTTGTCTTCTAACACGCAACGGCAATAAATATTTTAGCCGGTATAACATAACAAGAGATCTAGATAGCTTAGCACGAACATAATTTATGTGCTCAGACCAGCTGAGGTCAAACCTAAAAACGACTCCCAAGAAGCGACAAGAGTTGACGGGCGTTATTATATTCTTATTGATACTCAATTCTACGTTATGAATAAGTGGTGTATTTTTTGGACGAGATGTTACGTACTGTGTTTTCTTTACGTTTATTTCGTTCCCATTAAGCCAGGTATGAAGTTCGTTTAACCAGATATTAGCACGGTGCTCTAATAAATTTAGATCTGGACCAGAAAAGAAAACGTTAGTGTCATCGGCGCACATAGCAATGGCGGGAGTAAAATAAATGTTAGCAATATCATTAATATATACAAGAAAGAGCAAAGAACCCAAAATAAATCCCTGTGAAACCCCAAAGTTTATCTTACCTAGGTCTAATTCCTGAAGCTGTGTATATTGCATTCTGCCTTCAAGGTAACTTTTTTAATAATGTAAGGGCCAGTCCACGGATACCATATGTCGTTAGCTTATGAAACAAGATTTGGTGTTGGATCGAATCAAAAGCTTTTCGAAAGTCAAGAAAAATTCCAACTGTAAAGTATCGCTGTTCGAAATTACTAAGTATCTTTTCTTTTACCTGCAGTAGAGCAGATTCCACTGATTTTCCACATTGAAAGCCGTACTGGTGTTTCGAGAGAATATGTTTAACTTGAATAAAATCATACAATCGTTTATGAACAATACGCTCGGCGATTTTTGAAAAAAGAGGCAGTACCGATATTGGTCGATAATTATTCAGGTCATTTTTACTGCTACCTTTATGAATGCCAGTAACACGCGCAACCTTCATTTTCTCAGGAAAAACGCCAGTCTCCAACATTCCGTTGCAGATATAAGTTAGGGGGGGGGGGGGGGGCAGAAATGTCACAGATAGTAGCTTTAATCGGTGAAACGCCGATTTCATCGTAACCGGTTGAGCACGTGTCTTTTAGTGTGAACACCGCAGATGCTATCTCTACATCTGAGGTAGGTGTTAAAAACATAGAATCCTTGTAGGCTGTAGGAATGTATGAAATAGCAGATTTCGAAGATGATGCTACCTGGGAGCCAAGAAAAGCACCTGATGTCAAAAAAAGCATATTAAACTGATTTGTAAGCGTCGTGCCAGAGATGGCTGTTCCATTTATGTGTAGTTCAGTAGGTATACGTAGTCGTTAAATTCCTATAATTTTGTTAACAGCACCCCAAAGCCGTTTAGGGTTATTAATTAGCGGCGAAATCTTATTTTGATAATATGCATTTTCTTTTGCCTTCTTTAGGTCCAGGCTTAATTTATTCCTATACTTTTTAAACGCGACTAAATCTGCCTGATTCTTTGTTTTCAGGGAACGAGCGAACATGAAGTACTTTTTCTTTAATGCGTTTAAATAATGACGGTGTGATCCACTCTTTTCTAGCGTTTCTGTGCTTCTTAACCATAACACGCGGAAAAGCGTAATAATAGTTCTCACTGATTTTTTGAACAAAAATATCTTAGGCTTTTGATGCATCAGATTCGTGGTACAATTCATCCCAGCTAGTTTCACTCATTAAAGAACAAAAGTTCGTAATGCTAGCGGGGTTTATTAACCAACGCGTGTAATTAGATTTTGATATTTGTTTTTTTTTTTGGGGGGGGGGGCGAACAGAGCAAAAAATGGCAAGTGGTCACTTACTCCCGACGAAAACACACCAGACACTATGTTTTCCTGATGAAAACTTGTAAAACAGACATCAAGGAATGTGGCAGATTGTTTAGTGACCCTTGTGGGTTGATTAACGACATTTTCACACCCATAAGACGACATTACCTCAATCAGATTTGTTTTAACATTGCTGTTTGCAAGTAAATCTATATTTAGATCACCAAATATTATCACATTGCATTTGTTGAGAGCAGCAAATTCCAAAAAAAACACTAAACAAACTCTAAAAATGTTTCTACTTTACTATGAGGAGGACGATATAATAAAAGAACAGCGGCCTTGTTAGTAACGATACAAATTGCTTCATAGGCATCATTGATAACAGTAAACTCATGAACAATGTCATAAAGCATGTTTACTTTTACATACAGGGCCACACCACCTCCCCGTTTATTTTCACGGAACATAGAAATGTTGTTGTAACCAGGAAAATGCCTGGTTACAACCAGGCATTTTCCACGTTTTAACGTGGATCTAAGCCACGTTACAACGTGGCTTAGATCCAAATATTGGATCTAAGCCACGTCTCTGAGAAGCCAATGATGTCAAAGCAGTATTTTAATATTTGCAAATTTGCCTCGCATTCCTCTGCTTTGTTTTTAAGGCCTTGCGCGTTTAAATGGTATAAGGAAAGGGTTCCATTATGAGGGTGACTATCGTTGCTTATTAAATTATTAAAGAGGTCTGCATCAAAGTACGACGTCATGGCTACTGAAGATTACAGTCACTTCTTGCTGCTCTTGGCAGCAGTTAGCTAGATCTTAGCTACATCGTATAAATTCAGTTCACAACGCAGACTTGTCTTTTTCTCTTACCGTTGTCCTTGTCAACGCATATGCTGTGAGCTTGATATGTTTTGCAGACGTTGAACACCCGGCTGTAGTCATTCCGAGAGATTAGATGATGTGAATGACTTGCGTATTATGATTTCTCTTTGGCAGTAGGTGGGATGAACAGGACTGTTACTAATTAGGCATTCTGCGTTCTACCGACGGCGTTCACATTCAACTCTGTTGTGTCAATAAAACGTTAAGTGTCTGTGCACATTATGCAACTTTTCAACTTATCTTTATATTTCAGATTTATACAAGGCTAAAGTTGGAAAGATTATAGGAGTAACACCGTATACCATGAACGAAAGATGAACTTCAGGGAGCGTTTTTGTTTTTTAGCTAGAGGCAACCTAACACACGACCGGGTTAACCGGCGGTACATGGGAGAGGCCTTTGTCCTGCAGTGGACGTAGTCAGGCTGATGATGATGAACCTAATAAGAACCAACAGGCAATGAAGCCAAGTATTATGCTGGTGATGTTACATGTATTTTAATTGTATTATATAAATCCCGTGTGTCTAAAACTGGGCGTGTTAGACAGAGCCACCACACAATGTACAAAGGGCTCTTTTGCGACGGGTACGGAGAACTACTCCACAAGCAGCGCTGTCCTTTCTGAAAATTCACGGAGTGGACCTTTTGTTTCTGCTTCTCTATGCAGGTGCTTTCTTCGCAGCGTACGTGATCGTCATGATCCTGGTGGCCATTCCCCTGTTCACCATGGAACTGGCGCTTGGTCAGTTTTCCAGCCTCGGACCGATTGCGGTGTGGAAGTGTCTACCGGTGGCTCAAGGTAAGTAGTGTTCATGTCAGTGGTCTCGAAACACGTGACCCGTGGGCCCCTCACTAGTGTCCCGGCACACATGCGACTATATTCGTCCCACGTTGACTAGTTATAAAGCACTTTTTTTGTGGGACAACCCGTCCATATGTCGATGCACCACAGCTGTTATTTCAGAAGCGGCTTCCCGAATTCATCGGTATCGATATGTTAGAAACCTGGCGCAAAACCCCATTCGGAAATGACCTATATGACTTGGGAAGAGGTATTCCGTCAAATGGTACCATTAGGTGGCAGACTTCTGGGGTGTCTCCTGCAGAGGCGACGGAAGAATTTTTTTTCGGGCGGGGGTGGAGCGCATCTCCCTGATTTGGGGGAGAGGGGGGTGCCCTGTTGAAGTGGTTATTTCTCGCTCTGTATGCCATGGTAAAAACATTTGGGGGAGGGAGGAGGTGGGCTTGGTGTGCCACTTCCCGGCTATGCCTATGGTCTCCCCCCGTCCATAAAACCATATAGCATTTCGGTGCGTCACTTGTCCTCGGATGCATAAGGTAACGTGGGGATATTCTTCAACCCCCGTTGCAGGCATCGGCGTCGCCATGGTGGTGATGTCGCTGCTGGTGGCCATCTACTACAACGTCATCCTATGCTACACACTCTACTACCTGGCACAGTCCTTCCGCTCCGTGCTGCCCTGGGCAGACTGCTACGAGTGGTGGGGCGCGGACCCGGAGACCTGCTACGTGCGATACAGCAACCACGTAAGCGATCTCTTTGAACTGTAGACGTAATTCGCTCCGTCTCGACACATGAAACAAAAAAAAAGTGGAAACTCGTGCAAAAAAATTGTGGAAACCATAAGCTTCGCCTTTGAGTATTGAACGCAATAGCGATATTCTATCCCTATTGTGTACTTCAAACAATCAGTTTGGTTTGGGAAAACTATATTGTGAAAGTCCGAAGGCGTGCGTACTAGCACACGGCAGGCCGCTCCAACGATGGGACAGTAAGGCCGGGACCTAGCGCCGCATCGCGGGTCCTCGGGACAATCAGTGCATGAAATCTTTTCAAACTGGCTATGCACCCACTACGTGGCCCGAGGAAAATAGGCGCAGTAACGTGTGTGCGTTGTGTAGTGGGCGACCAGCTTTAAAGTTATTATGATAACCACATGTTCTGACGCCCTATGGCAATATACGCTTGTACCATGCATTATTACTGCAACATTTCATGCTGCGTTGTAGAGCATGTATATGGGACGCGTGTGGTTGTAAAGTATTAAAGTTAGTTGCACTGCATTTCCGACCAGACGAAGTTCGCAAGCAGCAGCGTGGCTGTATGTTTTTTTTCTTGATTGCCGACTTTCATATACATAAAACACGTTGAAAGAAAAAAAACCTGCAAAAAAAAAAACGTGTGGCTGTGTGGTAGAATATCCGCTTACCACGCGAACGACCCGAGTTGAATCTACACTCGTATCCAAAATTTTTATTGCTTATTTTAACTGCATCTTTCGAGTTTTGGTCAAGCACAACAAGGTGATTGCTCGCTCACAACGAACGACACCAACACCCGAATTTCCGCGAAACGAGCACTTTAACGCTCTCGGGTTAAAATAGCACCATCTATCACACAACCATGCAGGTGTGAGAAAAAAACAATGTCAACATATCCACGGGGTGAATGATGGAGAGTGGGGCGAAGCATCCGTCCGTCCATTCATTCTTGCTTCCGTCCGTCCATGTGTCCGTCTGTGTGACCGTCCGTGCGTCCATCCGCCCGGCCGTGCGTGTGTCTGTTCGTGCATCCGCACGTCACTCCATGCGTCCATCTCTGCGTTCGTCCAAGCATCTGTCTGTGCGTCCGTTCGACCATCTCGTCAACACTCCAAGTACCACCATCTCACATCTTTTCATCATATATTCCGATTAGAAGCACCGCCATCCAGCGGACATTCCAAGGACTAAACGAGAGGTGGCACACATACACTTTCTTACGGCTTGCGCTTCTTGTCTACTTCCGACCTTTAACCATCTCGAGTTCATGGTATATACCAGTTCACTGTATTCGTGGCACTGCGGCCCAAAGCTCGCCAAACCTTTCTAAAACCAAGGAGGTTACGCCCAGCGAGTATGCCGTAGCAACCCTTTCTTGTCAGATAGCGCTCAGTGTACATGCCAAGGGCTGCTAATTGGGAATGAGAGAGAGGGGAATTCGGCTTTTAGTTAACGCGTACGCTGCGATTTTTTTTTTATTTTTCAACAACGCGCAGGAGAAATCTCCCACTGGCACCACCTTGCAGGTCAAAGCGTAAGACTGGTTACGCACTACGACTGCGACGAGGGACGAACGGGGGCCGCTTTAAGGAGCTTCGCCCCTAAAAAATGATATTGATAACATAAAGCAACTACAAAGCAATGTAGAATGCATCTAAAGAAACTCCAACAAAGCAAGCCCTTAGACCACACGCGCGCACACACGCACATACACAGGCACGCACGTGGACACACACACACACACTCAAACGCAAGCATGTACTTACATAAAGAGAGAACAAGGTAGACTACAAGAATAGCGAAACCCTATTTCGAATAACCTACTGAGTAAGTTATTCTGAATACACTGAATGCAGTCATTACACAGCAGCCAACATTAGAGAAATCTATGAAACTAATTGAAGGTACTGATCTATTCTAACCTAGTTAGCATGTACACTGATCACCCATTTTCCTTCACGCAGCCCTTCCTGCTTCCAATTGTCATACTAAAAACACTTGTCTGCAAATATTTATTGTTTATACGGTTCCTTGATAATAATACCCGATCTGTGTTTTTCTTCTTTCTATGCTTCGTTTCTTGTCGGCCTTTGTTTCTTTGTCGGTGTACCATGGAGTACTTTACACTTGGTTATGGTACAAATAACTATGTATAATTGTTCTATGCCATACTGCTGTGTTCAGTGATTATATTGTGGGCATTTGTAGCTTACATCGTCCTCATCCCTGCATAATCACAATCACCATCATCCGCTTGTCTCTTTGCCCTCATTGCCACTCTGGTCATCATCATCGTCATCGTCTGTGTGCTGGCTCTGCCCGTTCGTTTTGCGAGGTCTTTCCTCAAATAAACGCTGTCGCAGCCAAGACTACCAAGACTTCATACGTGGTGGAGGTGGATTTTCGGTCCTCTGACCTCCCGCAGCCCGCTATACCCCCTGGAGCTTCATTCAGGCCGTCGCTTGCGCTCACAGTCAGGCAGCATGTCCCAGACCGAGCCTGCCGGCACTGATGTCATCAACCACGCACCGCCGCAAGCTGCCCCTCCTACTTACATACACGGACATCAGCGGGAACCCCCGCTCTTCTCTGGTCTTCGGGGAGATGACGTAGAAGACTGGCTTGATGACTACGACCGCGTAAGTGCCGCTAATAGGTGGGACGAGGCCGCCAAACTGCGTTACGTGCCTTTTTATCTGGTCGGAGTCGCGAAGACATGGTATTTTAACCACGTCGTTGACTTACCCGACTGGGCTACCTTCCAGCAGCAGCTGCGGCACGTCTTTGGGACACCAGACATTTGATCCGCCGTTGCGAAGAGGACACTCGATACTCGCCGACAACATCCCGGTGAATCGTATACTTCATACATAGAGGATGTCCTCGCACTCTGCCGGCGTGTCAATAAATCCATGCCGGAATCGGACAAAGTGCGCCACATATTGAAAGGCATTGGGCCTGTTGCCTTTAATGCCTTCACTGTGCAAAACCCAGCTACCATCGCTGATGTCGTGGCGACATGTCAGCGCCTTGATGCGCTGGACTCCGTCCGCCTTCAACCAGACATCGGCGACCACCACTCCACGTCAGATGGCCATCTGCGTGACCTCATCCGGGACATTGTACGCGAAGAATTGCAGTCCATGGGCTTCACACCTCCTACACCGCGACATACACAGCCTTCGGGAATGCCCTTACGTGACATCATCAGGGAGGAACTTACATCCCTGACTGGCTCTGCGCCCGTACAGCCACCTGCTTCTCACCCTATAGCCACGTACCCTCAAGTTACTGCCGTGCCTCCCAGCGACGCCCACGCGACATTGCCACGTCGATCCTACGCGTCAGTTGCTGCCGCTACCCCTGTGAACTACCATTCCGTTCCCCCTGACCATTCGGCCCACCTGACCGCGCTATCTCCAGGTGCCCCGAATGCCTTCTATTCCCCACCGTGGCGCTCGTCTCGCCCTGTATGCTACTACTGTGGCTATCGTGGCCACATATCTCGTTTCTGCCGAAAGCGCCAGCAAGATGAGCGTCGGAACGATGTGCGTGAACGGGATTTGTACACCGGGGCGTCTTATCAAGGTCGGCGTTATTCGTCTCCCCCGCACCGGTCTCCATCTCCTCCTGCATCGACTGCACCACGAAACAGCCGAAACACAAGACGCCGCTCGCCTTCGCCCTTACGCCGTTCCACTTCTCCACTTTGGCCCGCCTCATTCACCTCTGATATTCATTCGGAAAACTAAGTGATGCAGCTTGTGGAGGAAAAACTGCATTCGGAATTAGAACTGAAATTTCTCCATCAGGGCCGTGTAACATGGTTTCTGTGGAAGTGGAAGGAGTGCGAGTCGATGCTTTGGTGGACACAGGTGCGACATTGTCTGTGATACGTGCTGATTTGTGTGAACATTTAAGGAAAGTAATGACGCCTTACGATGGCCCCACGTTAGTTGCTGCCCAGGGGAACATCATTCACCCTTCCGCGCTTTGTACTGTGCGTGTTTTCATCGACGGCATCCGCCATCACGTCCAGTTTGCTGTCCTGTCCCGCTGCTCTCACCAACTAATTTTAGGGTGGGATTTTCTATCATCTGCTTCCGCGGCGATTTGTTGTGGACAACGCGTCGTTCACCTCGCTGACACCGACTACATGCTTGACGACGGTAATCAGAAGCCACTTCGTCTGGTCGCTGCGAAAGACATCGAACTCCCGGCACTACAAGAGCAAAGTGTCAGCATTACGTCCAACGACATCTATCACGGGGATGTATTGGTCTCACCGTCACCACTTTGCGTTCGCAAAGGTATAGTTCTTCCGTCCGGTGTCGTTCGTTTTTGCAATGGATCGGCACTTGTCACCGCTGTCAACTCTACACCGGAGAAGATCTTACTGCCACAGGGCACTACTGTGGCCCGTGTTGCTGACTTCGAGCCTGTACTCGTCACGCCACTTCAGGCCATCGCATCCAAAGAACCTTGCCTCGGTGAGCATGTTTCTTCCTCCGCCTTTACCACCACTATCAGCAGCGAATTGACATATTCACAGAGGCAGCAGCTGCTCGCATTGTTACAGAAACATGCAAATTCTTTCGATATTTGCTCGTGGCGTCTCTCATAATCATAGAGTGGTTTTGGGACGTTAAACCCCACATATCAATCGATATTTGCTCGTCTAAGCTGGGCCGCACTAATACGACAGCACATCGAATTCAAACTGTTGGGACATCTATTGTACACCGCCGACCCTACCGCGTGTCTCTAACTGAAAGAAAAATTATAGAAGAAAACGTTGCGGACATGCTTAAACGGGAAGTCATCCGTCCCTCATCTAGCCCTTGGTCGTCTCCTATTGTTTTGGTCCATAAAAAGGATGGCTCTGTGCGGTTTTGCGTGGACTACCGGGCGCTCAATAAGATCACACGCAAGGACGTGTACCCTATGCCACGCATTGACGACGCCCTTGATTCCCTACAAGGCGCGGAATTCTTTTCAAACATCGACTTGCGTTCTGGGTACTGGCAGATCCCCATGCATGAAGATGATAAGGAGAAAACGGCATTCGCAACCCCCTCTGCTCTGCCACTTTGACGAAGCCGCACCAACTATCCTCCATACCGACGCTAGCGGCCTTGGCATAGGAGCCGTTCTTCTACAACGCGACAAGTCTTCCCTAGAGAAAGTCGTTGCATATGCCAGTCGCGTACTCACCGCTGCTGAAAAGAACTACACTATAACTGAGCAAGAGTGTTTGGCTGTGGTTTGGTCGGTTCAGAAGTTCCGTCCCTATCTCCACGGCCGTCACTTCACAATCGTAACGGACCACCATGCCTTATGCTGGCTTTCTACACTGAAGAACTTGTCCGGACGCTTGGGTTGGTGGATACTACGCTTGCAAGAGTACGACTTTGACATAACTTACAAGTCAGGCAAAAAACATCAGGACGCCGATGCTTTATCTCGTTGCCCGCTTCCAACTACCCATATGAGCGTTGGTGAGAACTCAACCGCCACATCTACCAAAGTTCATACGCTCGCATCAATAACGCAACCCTTTTCGGACGACGAGCCAACATTTATCTCTCGCCAGCGGTCCGATTCATACTGCAGATGCATCATGAACCACCTTTCGGGAGTTTCTCACCCACCAAACGCGCGACTCCGTCGTCAACTCCTGCACTTTAAGCTGGACAATGGGGTTCTCTACCGCCACGTCTACCACCCTGACGGTCAGCGCTGGGTTCCTGTACTGCCACGCTCTCTTCGACTTCAGGTGCTCGAATCCTTCCACGACGACTTGACTGCTGGTCATCTTGGTTTTAAAAAAACTCTTGACCGCATTCGATGTCGTTATTACTGGCCTGGCCTTTCTTCTAGTGTAGCTCGGTACGTCGGTTCCTGCTACCCATGCCAGCGTCGTAAACTCCCCATGTCGGCACCTACTGGACCTCTACAGCCACTTCCGTGCCCTTCTATGCCGTTCGAGGTTGTAGGTGTTGACCTTTACGGGCCTCTCCCCGTCACATCTGCTGGCAAACGATGGATAGTGACTGCCGTGGACCACCTGACACGCTACGCTAAGACTTCCTCTCTTATTACAGGCTCAGCTGTGGAAGTTGCAGACTTTATTCTTCACGCAATAATACGGCGTCATGGGGCTCCTCGTGTACTGCTTAGTGACCGCGGCAAAGTGTTCCTGTCACAAGTTGTAAATGAAGTACTGCGCGCTTCTGGAACTACTCACAAGACAGCTTCAAGCTACCACCCTCAGACAAATGGTCTCACAGAAAGATTTCACCGAACTCTTGCAGACATGATAGCCGTTTACGTCCAACCCGACCACAAAAACTGGGATACTCTTTTACTATTCCTGACATTCGCTTACAACACCGCCGTTCAGCGAACAACTTGCTACTCACCGTTTTACCTCGTGTACGGACGCACCCTGACTACCTTTCTCGACGTCTCCTTCTTTAGCAGCCATGGGAATTCATGTCAGTCTTCTAGCGAAGAATACATTTCCCGCCTGGCCCAGTCTCGCCATCAGGCTCGCATCAATACTGAAGCGAGACAGCACGAGCGGAAGATCATCTATGACGAATCCCACCGCGTTGTGTCTTTCCAACCTGGTGACGAGGTGCTGCTTTTGACACCTATTCGCACTCCTGGTCTCTGTGACAAATTCCAACCACGCTTCATCGGGCCATACATTGTTTTAGAACAGACTTCGCCGGTTAATTATCGTGTGACACCACTCGTCGCCCCAACAGACCGCCGCTACCGCAGCACAGAGATTGTCCACGTTTGTCGCATGAAACCTTTCACGCGACGTTCCCCGTCACTTTGACTTACGGCGGCCAGGGTGTCCGCTTCCAAGTGGGGGGAATTAGTGTGGGCATTTGTAACTTACATCGTCCTCATCCCTGCATAATCACAATCACCATCATCCGCTTGTCTCTTTGCCCTCATTGCCACTCTGGTCATCATCATCGTCTGTGTGCTGGCTCTGCCCGATCGTTTTGCGAGGTCTTTCCTCAAATAAACGCTGTCGCAGCCAAGACTACCAAGACTTCATAATATGTTCTTTATTACTCTGATATTTTTTTTTTCGTTTCAAACGTCAAAAGTTGTGACAGTGATGCTCACCCCTGTAATCATCCCCATGGGGGATTGACAGTATTCTATAAATAAAAAAAATAAAAATAATTGAGTAAATAACTATTTTCTTTACTCCAGACAAGGTGCCGAGACGTTCCAGAGGTACTGTGGCGGGATTACGGTGGTTTCAACAGCAGCAACGCAAGCAGCATCACCACTGATCTCTTTCCCTCAAGTGACGTAGTCTGGCTGACGTCAGCTGTGCACGGCGTCAACTTCACCGTGCCCATGGAGGCGTTCCAGACCGTCATGGCAAACTGCTCGAACGCCACTCAGACGGCGGCAGAACAGTTCTGGGAGTGAGTCTTTGATCTTCCTCGAATTTTCGTACAAGTGCGGAAGTCACGGCCATCTTCATCACTGCTTGTGAAGCGGCATTGCAAAGGTTGCACGTGCGAAAACCGCAGCGCGAATAAGCGGCTTCAAAGGGAAACTAAAATGAAACAATGAATTGGATTAGGTCGAAAAATTAAACCCTAGAACTCTTGTGTGCTTAATTTCACCATAATCGAGAAAATCAAAGGCAAGGTTTCGTTGTTAAATTTCTGGTCGAAATCTTCGACCGTGACGTCATGAATTTCGAAGGGTATTTTTCGTATTTTGGGAACATAGGCTAAACGAAATCTACTTAAACTTCGTTTGTCAAGTCTATGGTCCCCTTTGAGGACAGTATATTTCTTTTTTACTGACTTAGTACTAGGCGCCATCGATATTCGTGACATCACAACGCATATTGCGTAAATTTCAAGTTGGAATGTCTCTCCGCATATTTTTTCTCCGTTTTCTCACTTATCAAGAGCGTTCTCGCTGAAAGCAGGTTGACATTGAAATTGTGCAAGATTAATTTGCTAATATAAGCAAAATCGTCATCATCTTTACCGCCTTTTCATGTGAGATAGGCTGAACACGACAATAACAGATGACCAAATGACGCGTTCCGTACAACCTACGCAGGAAGTACGTCCTGGACCTGTCTCCGAACATAGAGGAGGTTGGCGGCATCAAGTGGGATCTCGGTCTGTGCCTCTTCGTCAGCTGGCTGATCGTATTCCTCTGCCTCATTCGCGGCGTGTCCTCGTCGGGAAAGGTACGTTTGAACGAGATATCAGCTAACGTTGCCGTTCCGGCTATAACGCTGTCATATGTTTCACACGCGGATCATTTCTGAAGATCTGACGTCGAGTTTCGAGAACGCAGACGACTAACTGAAATCTCGACGCGTTTTGTCGCACGATGACAATGCTTCGTCACACGACGAATGCATGTCGCGCCCTACGAAAGGAAAAATGCTTAAAACCAGTCACGCTTGTGTAACTCACGAACATGCTTATTAAGAAAAAGAAGCAAAAAAAAACTTGGATAAAAATAGCCATGTGAGTGCCGGTCTGCCAGTGAGTGAGTCCGTGGGCCATGTGTTTCAAACTCCGGTCTTAGATTGATCCCGCCTTTAGTGTGTTTGTTTGAATTCTGCAGCAGGTACGCAGTGAGCAACACAGGGAGGCATGTTTTGTGTGCAGAAAACGATAATGAACTCGTGCTTGAGTTAGTTTTGAGAGAGCGTGTACAGAGAAGGGTAGCACCTTCCGGACCCGCGACGTCATCTGCTCTCTGACACCCTCTTCCCGCTTGTATGAAAACAACAACAACGACAGGTGGTGTACTTCACGGCGACCTTTCCGTACGTGGTGCTGTTCATCCTGCTTGTCAAGGGCGTCACCCTGAGTGGCTCGGGACAGGGCATCGCCTACTTCCTCGTGCCCGACTTCGCCAAACTAACAGACCTCAACGTGAGTCCACGCATTCGTTGCTGCTTCATGAATGACTATTTTGCGTATACATGTATGTTTTTTTATTATTACAGTGCGCCAAAGGACCCCTGACAGCGAATTTTTTTTTTCTTTGTGACTTTTTTTTACTGCATATTGTAGCTTTGTGTCTTGTGATTCCGAAACGGAATCGCACACGTTCTAAAGTATCGTATAAAATAGCTGTAGCATCGTTAATTGTGACAAATTTCATCATCGATTTGAAACACCCGCCTAATACAAGGAGTAAGCGTAGAAACGCGGAGTAGCGCCCTGGAACGCGTACGCTCAGGCGTCAGTGACATTAAAAGTGCAGTTTTCATATCGGTTGTCTGCGTGCAAAAAACAACGAGGTGTGGAAGCTTCGCTCAAGAGCGTCTTTCCTCGGTGAAAAGAAAAACATTCCAAACGTAAGCAGCCAAAACCACTTTCACATCATGCCAACATCACAGCGAGAGGGGCATAGAACAATGGCCCTCTTCAGGCCGTGGTCGTCGTATTTTGTTCACCCGGCAAGTTTCCTGCGACATCGAAAATACTCGCTTTACTCGTGTAACGACACACGGGGTGCCGAACAACGCCATACCTGTGGCGAAGTCACGCGGTCCTGCCAACTCAAACGAGCCGCCTACTTCAAAACCAAATAAAAATAATCGGCTAGAGATGGCCACAAGTGCAGGACAATCAAACAACTCGATGCATCGATTGTGGTGTCAGGGGACCTTTAAGCTGCTGCTTTTACTCGAATGTAACGCGAGCTCTTTAACCGCAGATTTTTGCTACATAAAGTCGACTCGTGTTACAATCGAATACCGAAATTAGAGTTTCTTTTCCTGGACAAAATCATAGGTCATCCCTTGCGTTACGACTGAGTAAATACGGTACACGAATCAGCGACCAGAATTGTTACTAGGCATAACGATTCAGAGTATTATAGACCCGCGTTCAATTACCTTTATGCTCTCAATTGATTGCAGTCGGCACCGATAGCTTGAAAACGACGGGACGAACACGGAAAATGGCAGCAGAAGTGTAAAAACAAAGAAAGTAGCCATATAGTAGATACTTGTTCGCAGTGAGTATTGTAAATGTGACCGCCGTAAAACAAGCGAAACGTTTTTGATTCTTAATTCTGTGGCAGTGGTAGTTACTGCCCTGATAAAGACAGGCCTTCAGAAGATGCTATCTCCAGCGACATACGTACCAGTTGAAACCAGTAGAGATACCAGTAGAGGTGTGAAGCGATACCAGTAGAGGTGTGAAGCGATACCAGTAGAGGTGTGAAGCGATACCAGTAGACCAGTAAAGTGATACCAGTAGAGGTGTGAAAGCGACGCAGTTATTTTTTGCAACGCCATGTACAACGGGTCCAGCTTGTGTAACTTCAAGGCAAAGCAGAGCAATACACCGAGGACACCTCGGTGCATTGATGAACAGATGAGATGAACACAGTTCATCTCATCTGTTCTTTTTTTTTTTTTTTGAGCAGCTTAATCTTACGATATATTTTTTTTTCCACGAAAGCCACACGCCTGTTATTTTCCGCTGTGTCCGGTGACAAGTTCGGTTTCACTTTCGAGTTATGACAAATGCTTTTCTTATGTATATAAACCGCGTAATCATCGGCAATATTCTCACTTCTCGCTACAGATATGGAGGCGAGCGACGGAGCAGGTCTTCTACTCGCTGGCGATCTCGTGGGGAGGCCTCATCATGTCCGGAAGCTACAATCCGTTCCGATACGCCATTCACATGTGAGCGGATTTGTTATTCTTTGTCTTCGCTTGTGCCAAAAAGAGCTACACTATAGGGGAACAACAAACAGAGATAGTTTGTAAAAAAGCAAAGCCTGTGTGGAAGTAAAGCTTGTCTACGGGTACTATGCTGAACTGCGCGGCAGTATATACCCACCACTTGTAATATGAAGTGACTCACCGACCAAAAACGAGTGACCAGTGGAAAGGCCCGTAGAACAACTATTACGCTTTGCTAAATGTCCTCTATGAAATCAACATTTCTAAGCCATCCTCCAAACGCCTGAACGGTGACAGATTTTGTACGAACAACGCAACCAGGCGGCGGCTGCTTATAGGTAAGTTGTGTGAACGTACGCCATTTTTGCTTGAATTGTGTGATCGAAAAACAAAATGGTATGGTTGAACATACAGCCTGATGTGGCACATACTGTCAGTGAGTATAAGCACGTGACCTTTGTCGGAAGGTCACATAACTAAACCTGGACTCGAGCCGAATGACCTTCGAAATCACGCGCTAGCAATAATCATAGGTCAGCCAAGTAAACGGAGCTCGCTCAGACTCGCTGAGCAAGGATGAAAGCAGTCGTCGCACCCCCTTCCCTCGTAATTGACGCCGTTTATCGCGACCACTTGATGTTTCGTGAAAAAGCATTTTATGCAGTCGATGTGACCGAAATCTAGAGTACTCACGATTTTAAGCAACCACTTTCTTTATGGAGGTGTCATCAGTTGAAGGCCACAATTGCCCCGCCACGGTGGTCTAGGGGCTAAGGTACTCGGCTGCTGACCCGCAGGTCGCGGGATCAAATCCCGGCTGTAGGCGGCTGCATTTCGATGGAGGCGGAAATGTTGTAGGCCCGTGTATTTAGATTTGGGTGCATGTTAAAGAACCTCAGGTGGTCAAAATTTCCGGAGCCCTCCACTACGGCGTCTCTCATAATCATATGGTGGTTTTAGGGACGTTCAACCCCACAAATCGAAGGCCACAATTTATTCAAATATTTTAAAAAAAAGTATTCGCTTACTCACTCACTGACGTGATAAATCTTTTGCGGTCGAGTGCACATGAATGTACCATCAACGTCGCGGTAGCGTTCTATATAAAAGGTAGTATTCTAGGTTAGGTAGCACTAGCTTCTTAATCACATCGGTGACCTCCGTGTTTCACGTATAGCCGTGGCCGAAAAAAAAAGTGCCAATAAAGAAGCTGCGGATGCATAAGTTAGTGAAGAACTATAGCGAAGGAACACACAGTACGAGCACTCGTTGTGTGTGTGTTCCTTTGTCCTTTTGCGGCGTTTTTTTTTTTTTTTGAAAAATTTGTGACCAACTATAGGCCAACGAACCACACTTCCCCAAAGAATTCATCTGGAAAATAGGCCCTAGTCACCACTTTATGGGCACGTGAAAGCGTTAACCAGAGAGCTCGTGACGAAAGCTATTTGGACACCTGGTTAGAGTCTAGACCAACCTGGTTGTCGCACGCACGGCTAAATTGCCCGTAAGCGTGTATCCACACGACGGACATATCCGCGCAAATCCCTCCCGCGGACGTTCGTTCCGCCGCCCGTCCGGCTGCGAAGCACATTCAGACGACGGACGAAGCGAGCAGACGGACGCGCTGGAGAAAAAAAACATGGCGGCACTGTCTGAAGCGAGAGCTGCCCGCTTCAAATCTTTAAGCTCTTCGTAGCGCATCGCGTGGGCTGTTATTCCCAAACTGATGGTTGTGTAGGCTTTAGGTCTGTGTCCTCGAGCTTCGACGGCAACGTATACATGACTATTTGGTACTGTTTCCGAGCGCCGTACTCGTTTTCTGAAAAGTGTAGGCTTAGCGACCACCGCTATTGCCAATACATGAGCTCGGTGATCTGCGGTAGCGCTGGGGCTACCATATCTCGGAGCTCATGATAATGTGCGAATGTTTGCTTATTCTTCTTTTCTATAGATGGCGCGACCAGTCTGAAAGTAGAAAACCCATTCATCGCTAGCCATTCGAGGTTTAGGTTTCCGTCTATGACGCTGAGTTTGAAGTTGAAGTGAATATGGAGGTCGAAAGAAAGCAACGAATAGCTGCAATGGCTGTTGTATTAGCAGAATTAGACGATGAAGCGCTGTTCTTCCCTGTAAAACGATCTTGTTGGCAAAAGGACTACATCGCTAACAAGCATCTGGGTATGCAATATCAACTCTATCGTGAACTTTTGCTTAGCGACAGCCAAGAATACAGGAGGCTTCTGCGAGTGTCGAGAGAGCAGTTTGTCCAGTTGCTGTCGCTCGTAGGACCTCGCATACAACGACAGGACACCGTAATGCGGCGAGCCATATCAGCTGAAACAAGGCTGCAGGTCACGCTACGATACCTTGCTTCAGGCAAGTGTTGCACGTCTGTGCATTTCTACTCGAAACATTGCTCCTATTGTTGCATCCGAGACTGTTCAGACTTGGAGAGCCTCGCTTTTAGAGGTGGCATTACGTTGTGTGTTGTAAAACGCCAGCAAGGTCTTGAATAGGCACATATGTGACACTAATAAAACAAATCTTGCGAAGGCTACGAAAGCCCTCTTACACAGCCTCGCTGTCGTTGATGTACAGTTTGGCACTCTTGGCATACATCTGCGAATTAGTGACGGTATTTTTTTCCCTTTGTGCAGGAGAGAGCCACCACTCCTTGAGTCGCCAATTTCGTCTGGGCCACTCGACTGTAAATGATATCATCCATGAAACATGTAATGTAATTTATGAAGAGCTGAAGAATGAATTTCTCAAAACTCCAAGCACCGAGGATGAGTGGAGAGACGTCGTTGCTGGTTTCAGTAGAAACTGGAACTTTCCAAACTGCGTTGGAGCGATGGATGGAAAGCATGTGATAATTACTAAGCCAGCAAACACGGGAACAGTTTACAGAAACTACAAGAAGAGCTTTAGCATTATACTGTTTGCCGTGGTCGATGCGAACTACAAATTTTTGTACACGGATGTTGGTGCGCCAGGGTCACAGGGAGATGCGGGCGTCTGGCAAACTACGCCTCTGCAAGCACACTTGTCAAACATGTCGGCTGGTCTTCCGGAACTGGTCAAGGTGGGAAGCTTGCCTGATCTGTACTTGCCACCAGTTTTCGTCGGTGATGACGCGTTTCCTCTTGGAAGAAACTTGATGAAACCGTTTGGGGAACGTTCGTTATCAGAAGAGAAGAGAATATTTAATTACAGGTAATTTATGTCACTACTGAAACAGCACTATGTGATATTTAACCGTTTAATCGAAGGTGCGCTAACCCAGATTTGCAGCACACATTAGCATGCTACTATCTTCTCAGTGGTGTAAAGTGTATAAAATTATATCTTACTTTTTTTAATGCTTTACAGGTTATCCAGGGCTCGGCGTGTAGTTGAGAGCACCTTTGGAATACTTGCGAATAGGTTTAGATTTCTGCACACCGTGATTGACGCTGAGCCAAAACGGGTGACATCAATGGTGAATGCAGCATGCGTATTGCACAACTTCCTCGCCAATGAATTGAACGCAGCTGACTCGTGTGCCGACACAACGCCTACTGCAACTCTGTTCTCTACACAGCCTTATTCTCGCGGACGAGTAAGTGCTGTTGGCTCCGCCGTACGTGACAGCCTATGCGAATTTTTGAATGGCAGGGGTGCTGTGTCATGGCAGCGTACGTCAGCCCACTTGGAGGCCGATGTATACAGAAGGCCATAAGATTACGCAAAGATAGTGCAAGATGCACATGCGTTGTCATAAAATAAAGTTGTTGAAAAATAAAATGCGGTTTGTTTAGTTGAAGGGCGAGATCTTGTATACGCTGTCATATGAATGGCATTTCAAATTACGGATATTTACTTAAAACTGAGTTTCATTCACACTGACAACAATGCTGGAGGTAAGCAACGATTTATTAACTGGCAATATTAAATGAGATCTGTTGAGCTTTCTTACTCGCTTTTGTTGATGTAGATTTCAAGTGCGCTTAAGATAGCCTTCTGGCATGGGATCAGCTTATCCTTCGGAACCTCGCGCATGTGTGCAGCAACAACTTTACCAAAATAGTCGATATCATCTTCCTGCTGTGTGGTACTCGCTGGTTGGCCTACGCTTGCAGCTATTTTTTCCAACACAGTTTGCCGTTGGGCCAATATTTCATCTAAACGATGGGGAGATCGGCGCCTTTTCTTCTGTGTTCCTTGGCGGGACATTGCAGAGAGTGCCTTGCCCGCAATTGGGTCGTCCACGGTAATGTTTTGGTCGTCAGTCGCTGCAGCTGCATCGTCTGAGGTTTGTGAAGGATCATCAATGTCTGGTCGTACCTGCAAGACACAAAATGGCGCACAAAGTCTCTCGCAATTCCAAAATGTAATGCTTTGCAGACACACATCTGCGTATCTATTCCGATTACAATCTGTATTACAACCACGTAAAAGCAATGGTACATTATTCGTGATTTGGCGTAATTAGAGCGCAAGATTCAAACTTCAGTGTCAACAATTTTTGGTCATATCTAATTTAAATATAGAAACGACGTTTGAATAATTCAGCACACCAAGCAACTAATCTTAATGTAGAATTATTTTGGTGTGTGTTCAAGCATTGAAAAGGTTGTAAGGCTGTATAAGAAAGTGCTAAGTAATAAAAATACATATTGTAAAAATTTACGCGGCACAAGAAGGCTTCATCACAAATACGAAAAACAAGGGCAGTTTACCTTCATGGTCTCCGCCGCAGCTTGGCATGCATCAGTGCTCACAGAACGCCAACAGGTCACTTTTGAAGCATCCAAAAACCTGAGTGAATTATAAAAGCGCCAGCGACCTTTATAAACGTCCGAGCTTGGCATTCCACTCTTTGTGGATTCTACTTTCTTCTTCTCCAACCGGTATGTGCGTCTCTTATTGTCAAAGAAGCGCCGAAGGGCTTCTGTAAAAAAAAAAGAACAAAACAGAGGGGGGGGGGGGGGGGGGTGATTATAAGTACGATTTACACCATGCAGTTTCGGTCAATCACCATCACAACACATTATGCTGAAAAAACGTGGCTGGTGCTCTAACGAATACTGCAGTGAATGTTTTCAGTTTTACCGCAAGCTTACGCATCACAAGCAACGTTTGGCGGACTCGTCGCCATTAACACTGTTCTTGAATTTCGCGCCGATTCCTTGATTAAAATGCATTTTTATTGAGCAGCCCTGCCTCCGGCACGGTAGCATGCTTGGGAATGCGCTGACCACGGCCGTCACTTGTAGACACCAATGTGCCCCACGTCATGCATAACAGGTACATTCCAGAAGGTTATTATCACGAAACCCACCCATATAATAACGCAAAACATAGAGAGTAAATATAAATGGTACTTACTGGCATCGTACGGCCCGTACGCAGGCCACTCCTCGTTCATTTCCTTCGCTATGCGTTCCCATATACTCTCCTTCACTGTTGTGTCCGCGTACTCGGCGAGTGTCATATCCCACAATGCGGGGAACTGCTCAACAAGGCGCAGCAGAAAAAAAGTTGCGTCGTCGCTCAAGTTCATAGTTGGAGTTGTTTGCGGTAGTGTGCGTCGAACGTACTTCCCACGCAAAAACCCAAACAAGACGAGCAGAAAAAAAAAAACGTGCCTGTTGCCAGACCCTTATAACTTCGTCGGCTAAATTTACGAAACCACACGAGAAACAGAAAAATAAGCGCTTGTTGCCACACTAGTATTGGCGTCCTCCGCTAAATTTGTCGTGTTTTTCCGCGGGAATCCGTTTGCGAAAAAGAGCGTGGCATTTTCCGTCCGCGACGTCCGCGGACGCGGCACGGATGGCGGAAATCCGTGACGTGGGGTCACGTGACGCGCCGTCCGCCGCGGAAAAGACGGATTTGGTCCGTCGTGTGGATACACGCTAAGCGACATATCGCGGACAAGCGCCTAAGCGAATATCGCGGAGAGGCGTCCCGACAACCAAGCCTGCCGAAGCTGTAGCTAACGTGCTTTCTCCCCTCTAGATTTTTTTTTTTTTTGGCTCGTCCCCCACGAAACCAAAGTGCCCGCTCGAAAGCATTCAATCAAAACTACACGATTTGTCAGAGCACTGTTGAAATTTTGTCGCATACGCTCACCTCGGCGTCCTCGGATTGTGGTACTGGACAATGGATGGTGGTACAGGTGGCACTACGACGGCACTCGGGTGGTGGTACCGATGGCACTGTACGAAAGTCCGCCGCTGAGGTAACGTGGGCACCACTCGTACGAAAATGTCACAAGCCACGTTGCGTTGCACGACGCTCAAAACTACTACGGTATCGCTCGTCAGTCGCAAAGAATGTGAACTTGCGTAGCCAGCCACCGCACGAAGTTCCAAGAGCACCGACACAAAACACGGATGCGGTAGAGCGAGAGGACGGGTCGTAACTGATACTGAGGCCGCTGCCAAAATCACACCCAAATCGAGACCACTCGACGGCACTATCGCGGGCACCGAGGCCACTAGCTTTTGGCAGTGTCCGGCCGTATAGCTTCTATCACGGTTTGATCTTTACCGTATAAGAGCGGAAGGAAGATATCCTGTACACAGCATGCACTACCGGCGTGTGCCTCGGACGTATCGCACTGCTAAGCGATCCGTTCACACTTACCTTAGAAACCAGCTGCTTTTCCCATGCTGCGCAAGCGCAGACAGGCAAGCGGCGACGAACGGTTGTTCGAAATATCTGCGGTGCCGTGATTGTCCAGTCATGGCGCCAGCTTCAACTTGCGTCATCACTGCTGCTGTGACAAAGAATGCTTGTATAACGTGGCGCCTCTTGCGGGATCGTCGTGGCGCACCTCCAAGCATTGCCGCCGTCGCCGCAACCGTTGTAGCAGTTTTCATCGAAGTCGTCAAATATAATACAACTCGTCCTTATGTTTTGCTTAGGACTCACTTGGACTCCGGTTTAAAAAAAAATAGTACATGCAGTGTGGCTCCCTGCGACTTAAAACTGAGCACAATTTCACTCTGGCCGGTTCACTTGAAGATTGGGACCAACTAAAAGCAGAAGCACAGAGGAAAGCTGTTGCTGGGTGACCTAGTCGTTCTATGCGACGCTTCTATCTTATGTTTTTCTTTCTCTTTTTTTTTTGGGGTGGGGGGGTGGGGGCTCATTTATATCTTCAAGAACATAAGCATACGCAGGGTGACCTTTAGGGGAGGAGGAGGGCAGGCGAAGGGAAAGTCCTTTAATATAGAGAAAGTAGCCACACTATCCTTCATATCATCTCCCAAACGGCCACCGTGCAGGTGCCGGCCCTATAACTATCAAGAATGCCATGTCACGTTGATAACACGCGCGGTGTTCGTGACTTTCTCAACTGGTGGCCCGAGAGGCGGGAGAGGAGGTTGAGGGGCACGGCGGTTCGGTTAAGATACGCGGCACTTTCCCCCAAAAAAAGTATCCAGTGACTTTAAGTGAAGGTAAAGTCCCTGGACATTCTCGGTAAAGTACCGTCTTTTTTTTTTAGCTGGAGCCGCCACGCCGAGCGCCCTCCTTTCCCACCTTCCACCTCTCCGCTACACGGGTCGTCGCCTGGAAATTACGTGCGAACCTATTTGTTTTTGTTTTGTTTTTTTGTATCGTTAGCAACACTGGCCTCGCTGAGCCAATTTCGCGTGGCACTGGTCTGCGCATGCGCTATGATACTCCGCCGCCGCCGCGCGCGGCTCGCCGCCGGTGTGCGCGCAATTCGATGCGCTGCGCAGACGATCAGTGGTGTCACGCACCGGAGCCGGCACCTCCCTCGCACTCGGCCGCGGCCGCGCGCGACTCGCCGCCGCTGGTGTGCGCTTTCCAGAGGAGTGCCGTCATAGCCTCGGTAGACATATAGCCTCGGTAGACATACGCGCGCGCCTTCCCTGTGCAGTCGCCATCTGACACTGCGCTGGAGCCGCTTGATAGCGCCTCTGACTGGCGTTTGCCACTGTGGTATAGTCATGGAGAAGGAGAGTGCAAATGCTGCTCAACGGTGCAGTAGAGCGGAGAAGCTTAACTCATCGGATCCCGAAGTTACCCGGCAAAATAAATATACATGTGCCACATAATACGTATACCGTGTGTGTGTCATTGTAACAGCTGTAAGCATGATATCTGGAAAGCTAAGAATAATCAGCTGAACCTTTGCTAACGCTACGTATATCCTGGCATAGCTGAGCTAAGCCACTGCCATTTTTTTTTGTTTTCTTTTTTTCGCCGTACCCGGCTCTCGCCACTATCCTATCAAGAATGCCATGTCACACTGATAACGAACGTGCTGTGCGTGACGTGGAATTATACCGGACGCCCAGTGATAGTGAAAGTAGGGACTCGATGGATAGATGTGTGGCGATGGATAGACGTTGCGCGCGTTATCACTCTGTGTTACAAGCTGCCACTCTAGCGTCGCCAGCGCGAAGTCGGCGACGGGAATGACAGCAGGTTAGTTCGTTCCGTACGCAAGCAGAGACAGTGAAGAGATCAGAGACGTGAGAAAACACTTTACTCTAGTGATATTGCAGCACACGGGATCTAGTACAACACTTCAATACAACTAACAAAATACGCCGACACTTGATACAACTAAAAATACATATAAAAACAATAAATCAGCTTACGAGAGAGAACTATTACAAACTACACAAACTAACAACAATAGAACTATGGAGGAGAAAGTTCGAAGATATAAACAGGTGAAGGCATACGTGTGATGACCGGCAGCGTTGCGTCCCCGATGATCGGATGCGAGAAGTCGAAGAGAGTTCTGGCACGACTGCGATGTCGGCGGTGTTGCAACGCTGGTGGCTTCGGGAGGCTAGTGCTTGCAGGTGACTTCGAGCAGGTTGAGCTAACTCGAGGCGAAGTCCCGATGTCTACGTTGCAGACGTTAATATCGCGTCACAACTAGACGAACGGCTAAGTTTAGGTGGCCAGCCGATACAGAGCCACACCAAAAACTTCTAGAAGAGATACTTGTTGATCTGTTTCTAAACCATGTTGGTCAGCGACTAGCCTGCCTAGCAGGGCAAAATCCTCCGCTTAAATCCCCCTCGTGTCTCCTCGCTCTCTTCCTTGGGGACAAGAGACCTCTACATGGGTCCAATCATGCGCGTTTCATTGATGGAAACTCCGCCCCAAAAAATATATTGACCCCACCCCTTTTTTTTAATTATGAGAGCGCCCTCAACTAGCGAGAGTGACACCTGTTGGGGTGCTGTCATACGGCTTGGCCACCAGAGGTTTTCTCACGGTTTTCCCGTGGGAACGGTCAGACTGTTTGGCTCTCAGCTGTTGCGTCCCGTAGTCTAATCCATGTTCGGGGTACATCGCGGCATTCCACGACCCCGCAGACGCCGCCGCAGGTACAAAGGATCAAACGTCGGCGGCGACGTTCGAAGAAGAGCACCCTATTCTTCACTTCCCGGCTCTCTTTCATGCGCCCGCCGTTCCCACGGTCAGCAAGGGAGTACGGCGCCCGTTAATTGCCGTGACGCTGGGTCGCAAAAATGGCAGTCCGTGACATTGCCCCCCACTTTCAGAATGTTATTCATAACATTTGCTCACACGGAGGGGAATTTTTCGACAACGAGGAACAAAACACCACCAACAAGGGAGGCATGAGGACTGTCCTTCTCATACACAACATAAATAGGCAGAGTGCATCAAAGTAACAACAAAAGGGAAAAAACAATTTTTAGAGTACCAGCTTCAGTTACACGCAACAATATCAATGCGCCATACAAAGAAGAAAAAGAAATAGCCGGGTACGACCGCCATAAATACAGAATACACTGCACGAATGTATACTACGAAACAAAACGGAACAGGTGCGCTCCTCTACTGTAGTGAAATCCTTCAATGTGCATTACAACATGTAAAAAACAACGAATGCACCTAGCAAAAAGAAAATAACTCAAGATACACTTCTTATACAATGAAATACGCACATACAAACAAAAAACAAACGACGAAAGGAATAAAAAAATAACATGCTCCCCAGACCTCAAGAACTATATCCGGCTCAAGTAATCGGCTCCCACGTTTTGGTGAACTGGTGAACTGGTACGGTTTTCCTGTGGGAACGGTCAGACTGTTTGGCTCTCAGCCGGTGCGTCCCGTAGTGTAATCCTTGTTCGGGGTGCATCGCGGCCTTCCACGACCCTGCAGACGCCGCCGCAGGTACAAAGGATCAAACGTCGGCGGTGACGTTCGAAGAAGAGCACCCCATTCCGGACTTCCTGGCTCTCTTTTATGCGCCTGCCGTTCCCACGGTCAGCGGGGGAGTACGGCGCCCGTTAATTGCCGTGACGCTGAGTCGCGAAAATGGCAGTCCGTGACACTGTGACATGGCATTCTTGATAGGAAAGTGGCGCGCGCCTGGTTATAGGGCTGGCGCCCGCACGGTGGCCGTTTGGGAGAGGATATAGGTAAGGTTTGCACACTTGGGAGAGGAGGATTGGACACTTTGGAAAGGATATAGAGGAGAGTGTCGTTACTTTCTCGATCAAGGGACTTTAGGTGAAGGTCCATCGCTGCGCCCCACTTCTCTATTAACTCCATTTATGGGGCAGACATTGTGCTCCCCCCCCCATCTCCATGTGCATGCCAGCGCTCAAGATAATATTCATCAACTGATGCACGGGTCAGAACTCTGTAATGCACTCAAATTAGCCGAAATCATCATAACACAACCGGGTTTACTGGGACTGAGACTTGCTGAAATTTTACTAAGCTGTGCTTATCTGGATTCACACTTGTGGGGAGGTCCGAGTTTGAGTGAGCCCGAGTTTGTGGGCTCATAAGTGAGCTTTACGAAGTACGCGCGGCGTGTTTCTTTTTTGTTTGTTTGTTTTTTCATTTGCTGTCTCGTTGTTGCAGTGACTTAGAAGTGTGGCAGCTTGGGCTAGTTGGTATGGCATGACGTCGTTTTTTATCGCGCTATAACTATCGTCTTGCAGTGACGCTTCGATCGTGGTGATTGCCGACCTGATCACAAGCTTGCTCGGAGGCATCGCCATCTTTGCCGTGCTGGGTCACATGTCCCTCGAACTTCAGGTGCCCATCGAGGAAGTAGCCAAGGCCGGTGAGTCGTCGTCCACAACCGCGCGCTGTCAGGCGTCTACTGCAGGCAATCTCACAACATACACTGTACTTGGTCAACCCAATACTATGTCTTTCCCGTGACAGGTCATTTCTCAGAAGTGATCTTTGCAATGCAGCACAAGGTGTTTGTCAGCGGGCAGTGTTGTACAAGTCCCTCTGCGATAGGAAGGAAAGCGCGTTCCTCGTTCCTTCTCGATTTTAGAACAAGTTCCCGTTTCAAGTTCCTCTAAAGCGAAAAGAACTCGTTCCAGTTACCTCACGAAAATTGGAACGTGTCGTTGCATCGCTATTCCATTTGACCTTTTTTATATAAATACTTATTATTCGTTCATTCCGGAGTGAAATAAATTATATAAGTTAAAGCCCACGTGAAGCTGCATACATTATACGAATTTGGCATCGCTGACAGCAAGTTATGCGTAAGTAAAAGCAGTCCAAATAAACGCCCCGAGTCGGACTTTTTGAAGACTACGGGTCATAATACAAGCACGTGTAACTGCAGCTTCCACACTTGTCAATTTCAAGTCGCCCCACACTAGTGCCACTTTCCAACCGTGGGGGTCAGGTACAGTAGCAGAGAGGGCCTCTGCGGCGAAAGTGTCCTTCCCCTCTATTTGGAGGATCCCGTGCACGCCTATACGCTCTGGCTGTCATCTTCACAGCTTTGCTCACATCGGCATATAACGTTATACACTGATCTCACCGCAGTCTTAAAGCCGTACGAGTAGCAGCTGTCGCATCTTACAAGAACGCCTACCAAGACCTCTTCTTTGTCGCTGCTGAGAAGGATGACGTAGATATGCAGTCAGAGTGTGTTTCTGTTTACGGCTTGTGCGCCTGTCTTTGTCAGCACTCTTTTTGCAATTCTCTCTTTTCATTCGACAAATACAAACAAGGTATAAATGTGAGATAAGATGGTGCCTTGGAAAGAATAGCATCGTTCAAAAAGGGATGACACTGGAGCATAAGCATGTGCAAGGGTCCCTTCAGGGGGATGGGAAAGCTATAAGGTTAATGCAAACTTTTCGCCCCAACCCTCCTTAGCTAATTAGGGAGACCCTCTCCCGCACGCATGCCTATAGGCTATAGAGCCAACGTATCAGTAAAAGCACTTTCCTTCGGGACGCCAATCACGAAGCCAAGTCTTACTTTTGAAATTTTGGTTCCAATGGTATTCCTTTTTAGTAAGATTCTCGTAACTTTGTAAAACAATGCCAACTATCTCCTTTTCCACAGCTGTCGATGTTTGTTCTTTACATTCCTTGTTCTGTGAAGATGAGCCTCTCTAGATGTGCCTTGTTGTTCAGGTTAAGTCTGACGGCGACTGAACGGTTTTCTTCCTGCTGACGCACCGTAGGTCAAGGCCTGGCCTTCGTCATCTATCCCGAGGCCCTGACCACCTTCTGGTGTCCACAACTGTGGTCTTTCATCTTCTTCTTCATGCTCTACCTGCTCGGAATAGACAGCGAGGTACGCCTGCTCAACTTCTCCTTTCTATCTCAAGTCTCCAAAGCAAGTGCTGCTGCCTTTCCCAGTTTTCTTGTTATGCAGTTACAGTGGGGACAATCGTGACTTCGAATTAGGGTTGTACAGTTCGTGCATCGTCGCTTGCATCACCGTTGGTGATTGCGTAGCCAGGAGATACATGGAAGCGGGCACGATAAGTGAGGTATACGTTCTGAAGGATGATAAATTCCTTGGTACGACCCAAAACGACTGGCGCTATGAAACGGGTGATGTCAGCGCCTGTTTTCGCTTTTCTCCACGCTCTTGTACCGCCACCCATGTTTTTGCTGCTTCCACCGCTGCGAAGGCGTGCAATGCAGCGTTATACGGTGGTGTTGGAAAGAACGAAACGGCCGTTGGCCTACTTCTGCCAATAGCGTAGTTTGACCAATTGGAGTTGGCGCGAAAGTAAGCTCCATAAGCTACAAAGAAGTCACGAACAGTATGATTAAGTGTCGTGGAAGGTCGTAATCTTATCGAAAACCTGGGGCTGCAGACACAAAGATAAGCGCGTTGTCTTTTCAGGCGTGTCCGTGTCCGCACAATTAACGCTTTTGTTTATTTATTTATTTGTTTGTTTATTTATTTGTTTGTTTATTTATTTATTTATTTATTTATTTTTCCTTAATCTAGTTCCCGCTTCTACAAACGACGCTGACAGTACTGTCGGACACGTTTCCCGTGCTACGCAAGTATCGTAGCATCACCGCCTTCATCGCCTGCAGCACCTGCTTCGTCATCGGGCTTTCCTGCGTCACTCAGGTGAGGCGGACCAGCGATTTCGATGAGTACGCTGTCAGTATCAAAGTGTATTATACGTGCCCACGAATGGGTACGAAAATTGAAGCAGGGCTATACGGGTAGACTGTACTTCTAAGACAGAATGAGGTCGTTTTGCGTCTATTGCTACACACGTCCATTGTTGTTATCATCATAACTATCAATATATAGTCATAGCCACTGGACGCAAATGTTTGCACCAGCGGCCATTATATACAACTAACGCGATACGAAGGCCAAACTTACCGATCCGCTGCTGCTGGTTTCTTCGTGATAGACACCTAACAAGCTTATTAATCTTTTCCACATATCCAGTACTTTTGTACCCCTCACATCGTGTAGTCTTCCCTTAGTATCTGTTCTGCTCACCGATTGTCTGTTCTATAAATTGCATGACCTTTTAATCTCAAGTAATACATACAAGTTTCATGCACATACATGCTTTTTTTTAATCCTCTTATTTGCGGCCGTTAATCCGAGTCAGTCTATGTCAGCTACACGGACTTGCTCTCCTCCGAGGCCGCATATACGCGGCTCCTTAGTGTGATCCGATATATACGGCCTACTCGTATACTTACTCTTCTCCGAGTCCGCCTACATGCGGCGCTTTTCTTAGTCTGAGGCGGTACTATTACAGCTACACGCACTTTATCTTGTTCGAGTCCACATGAGTCCACATACATGAGGCCTTTACTTACCCCCGTATTCACAAACGCTCCTCGACTCGACTTTCACCCTTCACTTGACAAAGTTGAGCACTGTGCCGCCGCTCGGCTGAAAATGACGCTGCGCTGCTTGAGAATCGCACCATATTATCGCTGATATGCAGTTGCTTGCCATGCCTAGAGAGGGCGCTTCCGTCGGCTTTCTCAAGTGAAGGTGAAGCGTTGAGTGAAGGAACGTTCTACATAGTATGCAGTGGCTTGCCATGCCTAGAGAGGGTGCTTCCATCGGCTTTCTCAAGTGAAGGTGAAGCGTTGAGTGAAGGAACGTTCTAGATAGAATACGGGGGTTAGTCTAGAAAAGTAATATTGCCGCTACATGCACTTGCATCCCGGTGCGCACGATTACGTCCCGTTCCCTCTCGTCGATCACGCCTTTCACGCATTCTGCAGGGCGGCCAGTACGTGCTGAACCTGCTGGACACCTACTGCGCCGGCGTGTCTGCACTGTTCATCGCCATGTGCGAGGTCATGGCACTCATGTGGCTGTACGGTAAGAGGCGTCGGAAATGAAGCGCTGAGTACCTTACGCGATGCACCACTCATCCTCGAGAGAAAGAAGGAATGTGCTTGGTAATGCGATTCTCCTCCACCATCTTTTACTACGGGACTGACAATGGCAACAAAATTCAATTGATGTAGTTACCTAGAAGGGTGAAGCGAGACTGACGTCATACAGCTACTCAGAAAGGACAAGTAGCAGTGACCCCTGTACGTACAGCTGTCGGCATACTCTGAGTGAAAATTATTGACATTTTGCTTTTCATGCTATGTTAGACAATTCCCACTTGTCGATATATGGATGTATGTATGGAAGGGGGTCAATAGAATGAAATTGGATGTATGAAAAAGAATAATTGAATAGAATATACAGATGGAATGGGTATAGTGGAATTAGATTCATAGAATGAAATGGTGTGGATGAAATGAATAAGATGCATGGAACGAAATGAATAAAATAAATGGAATGGGTAGAGCATATGGAACGAAATGGACATATAGAAAGGTGTATGCAGGAATGTAATGAGATAGATTGAGGGAACTTAATGGATGTCCGGTATTGGATGGATGGACGGAGTGGAAACAGCCAGATGCTTATGCATCACAGCAACAAACGTAAACATTTTTAGAGACTCAACAGAACATTTATACTCTATAAACAACTGCTGCTGCGTCTTTTCTTCACAGGTGTGCGACGTTTCTCCAACGACATCAAGTTCATGCTGGGCAAGACCCCTCCGTGGATCTTCCGATTCAGCTGGACATTCCTGTCGCCCCTCATCCTATGCGTACGTCCTGATTTCCTCGTCCTGCTGTAAACATTTTCTTATTTTATTTTTGCCATTCCTCCTTGTGAGCAGTGTGTGTAAATGCGGCATGTCGACTAAAAGACGTACAACTGTGTTTTACATAAAAGAATTCTATTCAAATTAGCATAACTCGACATTCCATCACTTGGACCACTTGATTGCGAATGAAATCGATTCCTACGATTACTTCATCCCGACCATCTTATGATAAAAAGTGCTGACGCATATATGCCACATCAGTTTGTCTAACTACCCTCATAAGTCAACCTTGCATTGCTGCTAGTTTTCTGCCGTACATTCTCTCAATCTGAGAAAGATTAAGAGTAACAAGCAGCATGTGAACTGATGGAAACTGAGCAGGTCCGGCGGTGGTACAAATTCGTTTGGGCCACACCCGCAATTTCTCTCGAAACAGCAGAAGAAAATTATTTCAGTAACTGCATGAGCGAGACGACTTGATATGGAACTGAATATCGAACTTGATATCGATTTGGGTTTATACGGAACATGACGGCGACGGCAAAAGGGCGAGTGTGAATATGAGTGCTACCGCAAATAGAGAAACGCGCGGAAATGTTTTTTGTTCCTTCTTTCTCTTTTAATTTCCTAAAGAACACTTACTTTCCGACTGTATATGTACCGCCTCCGAGAAGGTGAACACGTCTAAAAACGACGCCAAGGCTTGATGTTTCCCTCTGCTAAGCCATAGTGAAGTGTCAGTGAAGCCTACAATGAAGGGGAAATGTTATGTGTCCACGTTTGTTCGCCATTACGCAGGTTCTAGTGGTGTACGGCCTAGTCATGGCTGCCCCCGTCATGTACAACAACGTCGAGCCCTATCCAGCGTGGGCCAACAGGTTGGGCTGGTTCTTCGCCTCGTTGTCCATGATCCAGATCCCACTCTGGGCGGCAGTGGCACTCTTCAGGGCCAGAAAAGTATGTATCTTCTGCCAACTCTTCATTAATTTGTGTGAATACTATTTATGAAAAAAATCGTGACATCACTATGTGCGTGTATGTGTGCGTGTGCGTGCGTGCGTGCGTGTGCGTGTGTGTGTATGTGAGAGAAGGGACTTTTGAGAATGGCCTGTCAAATGCGCTCTAATGCAGTTACAAGCGTTGGCGGCCGTAACATGAAATTCGTGGTCTATCCAACCAGTTTTAATCTCTCCTGCCCGAGTTTCTGTCGTTTGTGTCTACGCTAAATGTAGATGTACACTAAATTCCTTTGTTCATTTTTGTTTGTTTTTTACTATTCGAAATTTTTCTTTATTATTCCCCTTTTCCATGGCCCCACTTGCTGGTCAGCCAACCTAGTCAGAGCTTGTTGAACGTCCCTGCCTTTCCTCTTGGTTTCTCTCTCTTCTGCCAAAGATATGGGTGGTATAGTTCACACAGAAGTGCCGTATAGTAGCTGCACTGACATGCCTTTCTATTCTCTTCTTTCTTTGTGCAGAACATTCGCTCGGCCTTCGAGCCAACGGACACGTGGGGTCCTGCGGAGAAGAAGCTTCTCCAGGAGTACCGAGCGACCGTGGCCAACTCCAAGGACAGGACTTGCAATGTGGCGCTACGGACTGTGTCCGCCAACGGAACGGCGGCTTAACTTATTCCTCTCCCGTTGGTTGATCGGGACTATCGTACGTTCAGTTCACTCGGTGCTCGGTCTTGTCGTGTAGATTCATTTGTTTCCACTTCGCACAACCGATCTTGAAGAGCTCATCTCAATCTGCAGAGCTCATCGAGGAATACACACTCCTCCCTTGCGAATGGCAAGGGCTAGGTTGTTGCGCATTCATTTTAAAGACGTGTTATCAAGCGCAGGTGTTGAGCCGGTATGACTATTCAAGCAGTTGCTTGCTCGAACCGTAAATTAGAAGGCAGCAGCGATTATACCTTGATGTTGTGGGTAAGCTGCACGAGTCGCTTAAGTTGTGTTGGGCAAGAAGACACATGGCAACTGATCGCCACGGAGTCCTTTTATTTATTATTTGCTGAAACCCCCATTATTTGCTGAATGAATGCAGTGTTTAGCCTCACACGACCTCAGCCTAAAGGACACTCGATCATCCGTAAAGTAAGTCACCGCCATGCTGCATAACGCTTGTGGCGTCATCTGTTCATAAGAGTCATGAGACCGTACATCCCGAGCATGGCCTCTGGGATCGTCGGTGTCCGCAAGCGCGCCTATTGATCTCGGAGGCTTTTTTTTTTCTTTTCATCTCAGGTGCACTACGCATCAGGTAATAGCTTGAGAGAACCCCGTGTCGCGAAACGCTCTCTGAATGATCTGGTTATGCTTCCGGAATCTCGATTTCAGATTTGCATTTTAACGTGTTCTTAGTCACTCTACAGCTTAGTCGTGTTTCTGATAGATGGCGCCACTACGCTACGTAAATACGGCGACGTCCTTGACGGTCATGATGCATCGACTGGTAACACGTGGTTTATGTCAGTATCCTATAACCATACATTTCCGTCTATTGGAACTAGTCGAACGTTAATTGCGCGATTGCTCGCACTCGAATGAATTGGGACTCGTTCGCCGTTTGCAGAACCAAATGAATCTACACGAGCCGTTTCGAATCCAGAACGAACGATACCCACGAGCGTCTTTTGCGAATATGTGCATACGTTCCTGATATTGTGCTGTGGAAAAAGTCCACAGCTACTTGATTGATTCCGAGTGATATTCAAGGAACCAGTATGTCGAATGTACCTGTTCGATTGTGATTTAGATGCGAGAAAAAAAAAAAGGAAAAGCAGTGCGCCTGTGCCGAAGCTTTTGTCGAAAAAAAAAAAGAAAGTCAAGGGCAATGTCGAGGAAAACGCAACTAAGAAGAATCTGGAGAGTAGAATTCGGGTATAATGGATTTCCATGAATGCATTGGTGTCATTGTTTACAAAGTTATGTTAAAAAAACCTAAGCTACAGCATTCAGCACCGTTATACTTACATCGAATCTGTGACAACCCTGTAGACGTTCGTCTGCGTTTACTGCATATGTATACCATCATCGTTATGCTGAATCTGTAGATGTCGTTGTTTGTAAACTATACAGCGCGTACACGTACAACTCTGCGAGTTAGCAGAGTTGGGCTTGACTTTAACATTCTATGAATGTTTTACACGTTGTTGGAAAGTCCGTTTTCTCATACTCCGTTATTCAAGACTTATGGAAGCTCACCCAGTCTTCATTCACAGGACCATGACACTGTTGTTACATTGTTTCTTTAGGTATATATTCTTGACACTTAAACCCCCCCCCCCCCTGCCCTTCTCCCCGGCCATTGATATCACTGTTGCTCATTGTACGACGCATGACACTATATTCCCGACAACCTTGCTGCATCTAAGCAGTATGCGACTGATACTAGACAACCTTGCTGCATCTAAGCAGTATGCGACTGATGCTAGAGAAAAAAAGAATTACCACGATTTATGTGGAGTATCGTGCGATCAATGCTATGACTCCGTATATATGGTCAAGGAACATGCGAAACGAAGACTGCCAATTTATACGAAATACTAGCGCCTTAGAGAACTTACGTTGTTCGTGAGCAATTTTGGGCGCTTTTATACTTTTTTTCATTGACGCTACGTTCCCGACATACTTTCCTGCCAAGAGTGTTTTGGCCGTGCAGTTGTGACGTAGCGTCATTGAAAGAAACAGCCAGCTCGTGATGTCACAGAAACAATTAGACTAATATTCTCGAACACGTGGTGCCGTTGGAGATAACGTTTTGACAAATGGTATTGCCTTCTTCAAAAAGGCAGCAACTTCGTCTCAAGTCTTGTCTTCTTCACAGTTCCTTCCTTAAAGAAAACTACTTGTCGGAACGTTGCTTCCAGTGACGTCTCGTGTTCGAGGAACATTCATTTCAAGGCTATATCTTCCCCAAAACATCTACACAAAAACAAATGTTACATAATATATCACTGCCCGGAAAGTTAGTAATGTTTGGAGAAAGCGCTAAGCACCAAGGAGCTAGGAACATTTTTTTTTTTTTTTTACACTGTGTTATCCGAGTCCCGATGCGCCTTGTGTTCCGTACGAATGTCCTGCAGGGAGGTCATTGTGGTCGCCATCTTGAAGTTCCAAAACATACGAAAGCTGCTGCGTAAGCAAAAAAAAAAAAGCGACACTACGGCATATCTTAGGTCGTACAACCAGATAGCAAATGGCGATTATCCACTGAAAAACTCCCACCATTGTGCGGTCAATGTACACACGATCACGATGCGCAGTGACGTCACCTTAAACGTCATACTTGAGAACTATAGCGCGGAGAGAAGTTGCCGCAGTGACGTCAGTCACAGTGAATGAGTACGGAAGGTGCACATTTGAGAGACAATCGAAGAACCGATCCGGGACGGCTGAACTACATACTGAACATGTATTCTGTGCGTTTTAAACATATAGTTGTTATTGTGCGAACATCGTTCCGAACATGGCATCATTGTTCACTGGGCCACTTCACACACACGCATTGAATTGTAAACAGCGAGCTGCCAACTTACCTCGCGAAATCGTTTGTCTAAAGAGCGCTGTGAACGCTTCAGAATTAAAAAGAAACGATTCCTTTGTTTTATATGACTCACGTTTCTTTAGCATGTGGCAATCGCAAAGGAGAAGACTGTGTGCAGTCGTTTTTGCGAAAGCCGCAGTCATAGAACCTTATGTAAGAAGGGGTGAAAAACATGGCGCACAAGAATAGGACACTGGATGACGCTTCGTTTGTGTCCTACTGTCCAGACCTGCTTACGTAATGAATCAGTACCAACTCTCGCTACTCTTTGTTTTACAATCCTTTGTAGGTTTGTACGGATGGGCGGTCATATATAGGCTAGTATGCATGTTATTTCGCAACATTTCATTTACTCTGCGCAAGCATCGTCAGACTGCTCATACGACAGATGCTGGATGAAACTCTACCTGTATGAACTGATTTTAGAAAAAAAAGTTTAATTGCCCCATAGATTTCAAGTATGATGCCACCGAACGAGGCTTCTTTAAGCGGACGAACAGCAAGTATTTCAGGAGTGCCGTAGTTGTACATTTTCTAAGTCTCTTTAGCACGTAGGTAGTTTAAATTTGGTGTTGGGAGATGTCTGAAAAAACGTGTATAGGCAGTGATATTCCCGATTGTAACATTTTTCGGTAGAGAAGGGCTTAAGGAGATAATCGCACAGACTTATAGGCGTACGACTGAAGGAAAAATTTTTGATACGTTAAGACAATGAAAAAATAGCGTTTCTTTCCCCGCGTTCTTAACGGGTAAGACGTGTAGCAAGATCTCAAGTTTCGGCCGCTGGTATCAGCGTGAACACAATCACTCGATCGTCATGTCTTTCAGAAGTATTTAATGACTTAGCATAACGTGCTCAGTGGAAACATTCTCTGCCGTAAAATACTCAATACAACTCCGTAAAAACAGATCAAACTTTATCAACGTTCTCAACACACCAGTGACAAATAGATGGTGTTGGAAGCAATACGCCGAAAAACATTTAACATATCACAGCACATGTGAATGACTCCGCAAGTATGCTACGCACTATGCGTACTCACTGATGAACCAATGAAGGGTCCATGTAGTGAAGATAACATCAATGAGATATAGGCTATGTGCTACCCTAAAACGGCACGCGACACATGTTCTGCACACATTTCGCCACATTTCATCTGTACCACGTACTATCTTATGAGCGTATCTTATGTTAACAAAGGCACAAACCCCCAAACTTTTAAACACTCCACGTTCACCCCTCAAACACTAGCACCCTGTGGGCACGCTCCTCCACCTTCATTATGAGAAGCAATGCATATGGGCCTGATTAAGGAACACTTAGAAACACGTGGCAAGGCTACTACTCATGGATTGCGTTTAGGTCGTGCCGGTACTAAAAGGCGAGTATCTTCGCGTTAGCCACCCAGGACTAGCCAATCCTAACATCGCCAAAGTTCATGGCTTTGTGTTCCACGTGTGAAACAGCGCATTGCCGGCTGAGGCAAGACTCTTCCGCCGCGAACCAGGTGGTCTGAAGCTGTCGAGGAATACGCCATTTCTGCCGCAAGCCAGAGCCCCGTGAAAGGGAAGAACATACTCGACAAAACGCAAGTCGGCGCTTGGATTATCATGTACAATGGTCGCGAAAAAGTTGCTTTTTAGCAAAGTAAGAAACAGTGACCCAGAACGCTTTTCAAACCGTTCGTGCTATTCTGGGCATGTTCCATTTCCGCTATATTCTCGGACTCCGCAGTGGCGACGTTTTCAGCGAATCACGAAGACCTTACAACTTAATCAAATACGTTGCTGGGCGAGTTTCCCTTCTTGCGAGCACTCATTCCTGTCTACTTGTCTTTTGTCTTTTTTGTGTTTGTGTGTGTGCTCTACTTTTATTTTTAAATCTTACAACGTTGTGAGCCAATTAAAATCGATAAAGTGGAGGATGCGACAACGCGGCCGATTTTGACAATAGCCTGAATAGCATTACGTCAACTTCCGTTCTGCCGTATCTGGACAGGCCAGCTGCGCTTCTGTTCGTTGTAACCGTCATATCCATAGCCGTCGCACTTTGGTTTGTGCCGGCTCGTCTACGCTACAACCAAAGACGTTTGCTGATCACCCGCAAATGTATATTGTTTTGCTTAAATGTAGTTTAAGTTCAACACGATATGCAAATGTAGCTCTAGAGGCAATGCGTTGCGATACCGGAGCAAGAAACGCGCCTTCAGTCATTAAATTCCTCCGCTGCCGCAGTGGTCTTAACCACACACCGCTGCAACAACGCCGCGCTGCTTGAGCGCGGCGTTGTTCGCGTCATCCAGCAAGAAAACCTCATAAAAAGGAATTCTCGATAATGTTTACCTCAGACCACTCTCACGTCTATGCGTACAACACGAAAGCTCTGTGGATCGATTAACAGCGGACAGACGTCATTGGTTAGCTGCAAGAAATAGTATAAAATCACGTAAATGAATAGTTGGCATGAGCCCTATATATGTCCTATCTCTGCAATTCACAGATTTAGACGGGCCAAACATCGGGCCGATGATGTGAATGACGAAGGCGTCGTGGCGCGTAACGTGGCACTTCCATCGTATAAACACTACCCGAGTGACGCAAGTTGTAGACTATACAGCGTGCTACGATAACGTCGAGGCGCATACACACGATGAACTAATTGTCTCGCAGCGTTTGCAATATGCAGCGTCACCTCCATCGTCAAACATGGCGGCGATGCGTTCTAGTTTGCAGTCATGAAGCAAATTATGAGATAGAGCATACTGCAACACGATTGAAGCAAAAATTAAAAAAGAAAATATATAGGCCCTACACGTGATCGCCACGTAAGGAGGAGCGCATGGAGCGCAGGCAAAGCTATAGGTGGCGCAACGGGACAAACTAATTTCGGTCAACACGCTGTCTCCCTGAGGCGTAGACGTGCTGGGCCAATATTGGTCGGAAAGAATGCGGTGAGGAAGGACTCACGGAGCGTTAATTGCACTATAGCCAAGTCTGGATGCGTGGCGCAGTGCTCTCTAGTAAAATTGTTTCTTCCTCCTCATTCACGGTGCTCTGGTGTGAACGGCGCTAAAGGATGTAACTAAGCAGCGACCGAGGTCTTAGTTGTCGCCGCTGCCCTTGTTCTGGAGGAGGATGGTGGCCATGGTGCTCCGTGGGTACCTCCGGGCGGCCAGATAGACGGCTCCCATCGCGATGGCAGCGCCCAGAAGAACCATCATGATGCCCAGGGCCGCCATGCTTCCTGCACGCGTGCGCAGACACGAATCACGGGAGCTGCACCACGGTCTATAGTGCGAACAGAACGTGATATGTTCTATTCCTCACAACAAACAAATAGAGAGAGGAAAAGCAAGGAGGCGATAGGTGCAGTGAGGTCCGAAAACAAGCGTCTGGATAGGAACACCGCACTGAGGGTAAGATAACAGGAATGGGGAAAGTCAAAAGAAAGGTATAGAGCGCTGCAAGCAGAGAGAAGGATCCAAAGCAAGACAGCGTGTGAGATATCGTGGGGTAATTACAAGGCAGTCAGCGCCAACTGTTGCGTCTTACTTTCCGAAAGGTGACTTTGCGGAAGGGGGCAAAAATAAGGACAAGAATGCCCATGAGGAGCAACAGTGACACCAACGCCATAGTAAAGAATATATATATTCCTTCCCTTCAACGATATTAAGCAAACGCCATGTCGGGCTGTAAGAAGTGCCTACTTCGCCAAATCGGATCTAAAAACCCTATGCGATGCGAGCGTGATGTCCTTCCTGACCTTCTTGTTCTTTCGGGTTTCGTCGGGCATCTCCTTCGGCAATCATGGAACCATACGCAAACCGAATGAAACACATCAATTAAAGATGTCACACATATGGTGCGTCTTTTCACTTCGTTGCAGAAGAATGAAAAGCTGAGCAAGTTCGTGTGGTAACAAAAACTGTGCACCCAAACGCTTTCATTTCACCTGGACAAATTGGTCCATATGCACGAAAACGGGGCGACGATATCTCCGGTCGGGATACAGAGTGCACAAATTTACATCAAAGAAGTGAAACTGTTGAATGGACGTCAGGGTGACAATGAACAACAGCTATTTGAAGAGGCGAATATTTTGCGAAGTGCTGTAAGCTGCATCTCGATTCATTTGATTTGCATACACGGATACACAAGGACACAGAGGAAGAGAGAGAGAGCAAGCAGGCAACTGCCACCTGGATGGGCACAAAGCCTGCACAGAACACAGATTTTTTTTTACTGCTCTAAAGCTTTTGCTACCTGAAGTAGCGCTCCCCAGATTATCGCTTCAAGTTCGTCGTAGAACTTCGAGGAGAACCTAAGAACCAAAAGGCAAACAAGGAACGAGTTCGGTATGCAACAAAGCAAGGACAGAAAAAGCGATAAAGGCTGAAAAAATGCAAGCAACAGCGTTTGGTAGCACGCTGTGAAGGAGTGTCAATATACACGAAGCGCAAGTGGCAATGAACACTCACCGCTGGAATATCCTTTGGAAGAAGCATCGGGCGGCGCCACTGAAACAGAGGGCGCCAGTACGCTTTATGAAAAAGCCGAAGTGAACGCCATTACAAAACGTAATTTGCTGCTCCCGCATGATCACAATCGGCGTTAATATTGTCACAATAAAGCACGGACTAGACTGCAGAAACGAAACCATAACACGAGGTAGAAAAGCTGTCAAGGGCCATCTCTCAGAAGGGAACCCTCATGGAATGCGAAGCAGCAGCGGTGCGCATGGCGTTGACCCGGTTGAAACGGGCGTTGACACGGGTGCTAGAAAAATGATGTGAAGCGAAACTCGGTGTAGCGTTTACTCGAGGAAACGTTTGTTCGAAACGCAAGATACGGAAGGCGGGTTTGGTTTTGTGCAAGTTTCATTAAAGCGTTTGGCAAGACTTCTTAATCGTCGTTTCTTCAGAGTCGAGGGACGGGCGCTGGACCGGGGCCGGCGCGCGTTTCGCCTTGACTACCACGGCCTTGTGATCGGTGAAGTGCGCGCTGAGAGGTTCCTGCAGACCCGCTACGTCGAAGTGGCAGCTGCGAGTGCTGCAGCGAGGGTGCTGCGGGTGAGCAAGAGAGTGACGTTAGCGCGCGCCTGCGAGGAAAGCGTGCGAGGGGAACGTAATTTCAACGCGCAGCTGCAGCGTGACCTACTTGGCACCGCTCCAGCCCCTGCGGTGAGGGGAACGTGTTGTGGCGCCTTCGTATGGACGCACGTACGTACGGCATTGCACACGATAGTCAAAGAGCTGCTTCGCATCTAATAAGACAGACACTACAGTGAGGAGGCCAGTGAGTTCAATTGACCAACTACTATGATGGACGCTCATTCGCTGAGCCTGTGCCAAGCCATTGGAGCAGCACATCTTCAAGCGTCAGGGGTTTGCCGTGTACTTCACACACTTCACCGACGATACGTGCATGGAAGTTGCTTCTACGTCAATGTGGTGCAGTTGTTTAACTGATCGGCTTCATCAATACGTGTAGCCAGTTCCTTTATACAACTTCTAGGGTGATGCGACTCCAGTATTATTTCTGCGGTTTTGAGGTTATCATTAAACGCTCAAAATAAACAGGTTAAGATTGTGCCCATGCTCCTCGTAAGCTTTTCTTTTACTGTTTGCAGAATCGCATGAAGTGCGTACACTATTTCCGAGGCCTCTTTGCCTGGTGCTTTTCGAACACTTTCAAATTACGCTATGTTGTCCAATTCTGTAATGGCTCTATTTTCAGCCAATCAGAAGGACTGTAGCGGCCCTGCGTGCCAATAAAAGCGACAACATGGCAGAATTGGCCAATGTCCCGGACAGCACCACCGGTTGAGTCAAAATCCACCAAATGAGCCTCAGGAATAAAAATAGTTTCATGCAGGTCAGTGACGCATAATGACAAAATACTGGAGTGTGAATACATATTCGTTGCACAGCGCATTATGAACGGGGGACAAGCACGAAAAACAGACAGCGCAAACTGCGCCTATGCGACGACTTGCGGACACTGCTTGTCCATGGTCTAGTAATTCTGGCTAATTTCGTTTCCTCTGTCAAGCAGAAAATAATGAATTTTAATTAAATTATAGCGCTTAAAAGACAGGGACCAAGAAAGGGGGCAGAACGTGTGCTCGGCTTCTGTCCCTGTCTTTCGTTATTGCTGTCTTTTAAGCGTTCTGGTTTCACTATGAAAGAGGTCAAACCAATGGGAAGGCGCGGCAACTGAAGGCGGCAATGAAATTGAGACAAGCAATGGAAGAGACGAGACAAGTACTGGCATAGTTTGTCTTGTTTATTCATTGTGCTCTCTTCTGTGGGCATCGGCAGGGGAGTTCAAAATGGGCACTTGCCCATTAAGCCTCAGCCAGCACTTGGCCTCACCCAAGCTACTACAGTGCTCTCCCCCTCCCCCGACCATGATGCAATTCTGGTTTGCAACCTCCAAGAGAAAATCCTGCTGACAACCAGGCTCTCTTCAGGTTCCCTTTCAAATATAGGCAAGAAGCTTACACAAGGCTATGGACTCGCGTATATATTCCAGTTCCGGACATCTGAACACGCCGAAGAGCGAGGTATAACTGCTACACGTTTGTTTTCTGAGACAAATATATTCAAGACAAGAAAAAGGTCACTCACCCACGTATCGATTCATCATTTGCGTGACGACGTATTCTGGTTTCTGATAAAGCAGTGGGTATAAGAAAGAAACATAGATAGATAGATAGATAGATAGATAGATAGATAGATAGATAGATAGATAGATAGATAGATAGATAGATAGATAGATAGATAGATAGATAGATAGATAGATAGATAGATAGATAGATAGATAGATAGATAGATAGATAGATAGATGCAGATAGGGGGAGAGGGAGAGAGTGGTTGATAGAAAGGAGAAAAGAAATGAAAAAGAAACACAACGGTTAGTTATTCAAAGGCATGCATTACAAAGTCGTTAGCATTAGCAAGTACCTCCGCAATCGAATTAGCAAGTTATATGGGACTGAACCAAATTAACAGATGTTAAAGTTAGAACAATTGGCTCTAAGTTATACGACAGTTGATATACAAAACATGCCATTGGATCACACTCTTTACGACACTTACACGACTACATTTTTCTTTTACACATAGAAGAAATATGCAGATACAACATTGCCGCGTGATAGAAAAAGCAAAAGACGAAATACATGGCGTAAATTCAGAATCTACCCTTCAAACAACAAGGAACCCACCGTGGTCGTCTAATGGTCATGAAGTACGCTTTCGTCCCTTATGAAAGAGAACACGTGAGCTCGAGGCCTGTGCTTTGCGGCGGCCTACAGCACCATCAACCAATGGCTGAAGAAAGAGCGCGCGCTTGTAGCACACCACCCGTTATCAGACTGGAGAGAGAGTGTTATCTAGCAGCGCTTGCCGGACGGCCATTACTCGTTATCTTTTTGAGCAGACGTTTTTTTTTTTTTTCTTTCGGGTCAACGATAAACATGATGGTGAGGAAGAGGAGCCGAAAAGAAATCGTTGTCGTTGCTCTCCCCCCCCCCCCCAAAAAAAAAAAAAAACGTGTGCGCTGCGTCGAATGCTGCCTCCAGTCTCGTATCAAAATGCACGTGGCAGTCGCTTTTTCTTCGAAATGTATTGTCTTCTTTTCTCTCTTTTGCCCCCCCCCCCTCTTTTTTTAATGGTACCATCCAACCATCGCTCGATGTCCATCGTAGTCACCGATAGCCTGATCAAGCGACTTTCGTGCATGAGAAGCCTTCGCTAATTCGTTCAACTTACATTTGAGGCCACTCAAAGCGCCACGCGTTAGGCGGCAATGACGTGGTATTTCGTCTTAGTTTCGCGCACTTTAAACAAACCCCGGAAAAAATTAATTAGCGTTGTTATCTCCCCGTAACTTGAAAATTTTGTTATTTCTGAATAAGAGCTACAAGCCTTGTATTGATTTTTTTCTCTAGAGACAGTATTTAGAAAGTTCATTAAGCAATCTTTGGTAATTAGCGTGCTTGGTGGATAAAAAAAAATGTTTTGACGTGCTACATATAGCTAAGAACAATACTGCGCTAGCTGGAGACGCGTAGTACTCATTTTTAATTTTTTATTGCTTGGTACTTTTTAGCTGAAACACACTGTTTAAAAGGGATATGATGGTGACATCGACGGCAAAAAGCAGCCGACAGTGAGCATGCAATTGCTATCATAACAAATAAAAAAAGGCTTCCACCACGGGCAAGTACATATGAGGACGAAAACGTTCGTCGGTCATCGAATCTGTAATTCTCGGCATTCTTGCACAGGATCCGGCCATTCAAACGTGACACTGCGACCGCGTGAATTGGCGTAATGTTACTGCGTGTGGCTCTCGACGAGAGCCACTGTTTCGCATTCGTCCGCCATTTTGCGACACAGTGTTACGCGGGAAAACCACCACTGGTTCGCGCGGGGACTCCACACTCGATAGGCATGGCACGTCACCACGTGAACGACTCGTATATGACTATGAAATGAGCGAAACATGCGCGTCACATAAAACTGCATGAAATATCCAGAGCTCACGGGCTGAAATGTAAAAATTTAGGGCTAAATAAGTGAGCGTAATTTTGTTCGCAGCATCTTGAGTCCATGCCACATCGATCGTCGTAATTTTCAAGTCGAACATTTGCATCAAAGCCTACTTTATCTTTAACGGCCAGATTTGCAGCAACATGATGGGATTATTTATACAAATTGCTGATAGCAGTCATTATACAAAAAAAACTGCACCACGTTTCAATCTGTGGGTACTGTCCACCGCGACATTGCGCGAGTTTTATGCGGAAAGCGTGGCAGTATATATTCTCAGCTATGGGCATATGCCAGACGCTGCGCGGTGTGCCGTTATGATAGCCTTGAAACTATTACGTCTTACATCACGCACGTATAGTACACACATCGTCACTAATAATCACATGAAAGCGAGTAATTGTGCACCGAAGTGGACGAAAATGAAGCTGCAAACTCACGAACCTGGTCCGAGCCAGGGATGTCGAGGTACACCTTGAAGCTTCCCGCGTTGATGGTCTCGTTGAGCTTCTTAGTGGCCTCGTCTACCGTGGGATCCGGCACCGCTGCACAACGAGTACACGTCCTTTCTTGCACCTTTCTTCCGATCGTTCGCCCCCATTTCTCGGATTACATTGAAACAGCGAGTGATTGCTTACTGATATGGTCAGTGTTGGCGGCGGGCAGTAGGCGTGCGAGGACGAGCAGGAGGTTGTTGGCTCGCGGGAATACCTGCGTATGAAGGATAGGAAACGCATACAGTGTGCACGTATTGGCCTATCAATCAATACATCTATACTTCCATCCATCTGTATAGAGTCTATCTGTCGTATCAACGTGTTGACGATAGAGTGATCACTTGGCAATAATTCCGATGTCGGTGGCATTGGTTGTGCATGCGCCGAAAAAAAAACAGCGTCGTCTAGCTGTGAGCGAGAATTCGAGATAGATGTAAACTTAATGATAAGAAAAACTTTATCTGCGAATAGAACGCAGACCTTCTGCGTGCCAAGCAGGTGTCCTACCACAGATCCAGACCATTGGTTAGACCAGCTAGCCGAAAGAAAACATGTACGAATGGCATGTAATGCGAGGTGTCTCCTGTTTACGAATGTAATGTCACGTTGCACAAGCGCACAATGCACCGTCCTCACGTGCGTTGCACAATGAGTGAGAGGCCCAAAGGTCCACGCATCACAAGATCGCTCAGACAAATGTAATTATCATCGGCGGCGAAATCATCAACAAAGTCAGAAGGTTCACGTATTGCCTTACGGACGCTTGTAGCGGGCACTTCGCCGATTCACAAAAGAAATAATTACGACGTAGTGCACACTTCGTACCAACAGTATAAGCATTGTAGGTTAGTTTCAAATGGCTAATTCTGCTCGTACGTTCCTTTCCTTGAAGCATGGTTGAGATATCCACCGAGAACTAACACGAGGGTATACCGACTGAGAAGGTGATGCAAACGGAGCCCGATTATGGTATCACCTTCTACCCTTGAGGCGAAGCTCAAGACTGCTTCAACATTTGTTTATCTATTCATATATTTAAAAATCCGCGTTAGTGAACTGGTTGGTAGATGACTGGAAGTAAAATAGTGCTGCAAATTTGGATGTCCGTGCATCCGATCATACATCCGTCCGTACATCTGTAAATTCATTCATTAATTCATTAAATCATTCGTCATTCATTCGTACACTCATTCATTTGTCCATCCACCCATTCATTACTTACAAGAAGAAAACTCACTTTATGTACATAATCACAAGAGTTAACCAGGCGTGCAAACATGCCTTCACATGAGAGACGAGAAGCGCAGCGATGGGTAACGAGCATTCATTGATTCGATCATTCATTCATTTATCCATACATTAGTTACAAGAAGAACACACACTTTATGTACATAATAACAAGAGTTGATGAGGCGTGCAAACACGCCTTCACATGAGAGACGAGAGGCGCAGCGATGGTTACAAACAGAACATTCATTCATTCATTCATTTATCCATACATTAGCTACAAGAAGAACACACACTTTATGTACATAATAACAAGAGTTGATGAGGCGTGCAAACACGCCTTCACATGAGAGACGAGAGGCGCAGCGATGGTTACAAACAGAACATTCATTCATTCATTCATTCATTCATTTATCCATTCATTCACTCATTCATTCGTGCATTCATTTATGCACACATACACACTCGTATATCCACCCATCCGTTCGCCCACCCACTCGGATAAGTGTCGGTGGGCGGGTGTGAGGACCGGGGCACCCTAGCAATACATACGTGAAGTGTTCGTGCCAAATAAAATATTTGTATTTATTTATTATAAAAAATTAACTAACTCTAAGGAGTAACTTTATGAAGTGCACTCACCGATACTCTGCTCAGCCGTATGTCTTGCGCAATGCCCATGGTCTGCCTCATCTGGATCCGAAGCGCCTTGGCCAGAGCTTCTCGGGTTCCCTTGCCAGGGCCGAAGTCGGAGTTGCCTAAATAGAAAAAAAAAGAGGGAGGAGGAAATGGGCAAGCCAGGACCTTAATAATAACTTGAACACTGCAACGAAAAACAAAGTCCCGTGCAGCTCGGTTCCCATACTGCTAAAATATACTATTTTGTTTTGACGAGAAATTATGATCCCAGTTAACTTTTACAATTATAGGTATTGAAATCCAATGTTTGACTAGAGAGCACTGCTTTGTGCGTGACAGCAGCAGATCATGGCCATCGATGTGTGTTCTACATACCCTGAGTATGTACTCCTTGCTACGGCAATACTTTCTCGATACGTTCCGTGTGCACCGGACATCCATCTGGTGGCTATCTGACTAAACATATGTCCACCTGAACCATCGGTTTGTTTATCCCTTCTGTTCGGTCCTAGTTCACTGTCTGTGTATCTGGCCCGTTAACTTCCAACCACTTTTTTTAACTGTCTTACTTGCCCTGGCTGCCTATCGCAGCACATCTGCACCCCCTCGTTTTTTTTTATAACAATAAAGCGTTACCAATTGATTTGACGTCATTTCGCCATATTGCCCTCGCAAGTTGTGTAGGAAAATCCATGGAAGGGATGATACTTACACGCCTAGAATGGTATCTCGAGGGCTACAACGTGTACCCAAACTGCATGACGGGTTTTCGGCGAGGTAGGTCGTCTCTTGACAGCGTGATTGATCTCACAACATTTATCCAGCAACAAAAGAGCCTCAAGTGCATACCACCGGTACTCTTTCTCGATGTCAAAGGGGCATATGATAACGTAACACATGAAGCCATCCTATACTCGTTGGAGGCTGTCGAAATTGGTTGTGGGATGTTCTAATGGATCCAGGATTATATGACGAGAAGGTCTTTTTTTTTTTTTGTACAAACCGAAGATGGACCTACCGCCAATTGCTATATACCTCCCGTGGCGCTCATCAGGGCGCCGTATTAAGCCCCACTTTATTAAACTCGTCATGGTAGGCATCCATGAAATTCCGCACAGTACTATACACATATCCATATATGTGGACGATACTTGTCTATGGACTTCGGCTGTAACTCGTCTACAAGTACGTGCAAGAGTCCAGCAGGCTGCCACCCTGACATGCTCGTATCCCCCAAAACAAGGTATTTCCGTCTCAACGAAGAAATGTGCATTAATTACGTTTACTCGCAAAGCAAAAGACAATACCACGTTTCCATCAATGGACAAAATATTCCATACCAAAAGAACCATCGCTTCCTGGGTGTGATCCTTGACAAGGACCTTTCGTGGAGAGCCCACTCCGATTAACTGAAGAGAAGGCTAACTTCCATCGTTCATATAATGTGGTTCCTGTGCGGAATTTCTCGGGGCACATCGATAAGGTCAATGATGCAGCTATACAGGGCATTGTTTCTGCGATTTTTGCGCTACAGCTTGCCGTTACTGGAAAGTACATGAAAGACGAGCATCCGCACCCTCGAAAGTCTGCAAGGACAAATACTACACGTGTGCTTAGGATTGCCACGCCGCACTTCAACCTACGGAACAATTCTGATCGCAAGAGAGCATTCGATTCAAACATACATCACCACTGACAATTTAAGAGCCCACATAAGACACTTCTGCTGAGTTCCCGGTCACCATGTTGCTGTGTTACCACTTCAGAGACCACAAGCGATGTTTTCAAAGATTATTTCTGCTCATAGCGAATGCCTTCCATTGGGCCGCACTCCAGCAACAAGACCACCGTCCCCTCCATGGTGCCTAAAACAATCACAAATGTGCCTCACTGTTCCGGGAAATACGAACAAGAGCCGTCATTCAACAGTGGTCCTGCGACAGGCGACATTGTCGCTACTCAACGAAAAATACGGCCAAAGGGCCCACATTTACACCAATGGATCAGTCTCGGCTGACAGCTTCAAAGGTGCTGTTGTCATCTCGACGTACCAGGACACTATAATATTCAAGCTGTACGTCCCATAGGACAACATCCACAGCAGCGGAGCTTGCCGCTTTAAGTGCTGCTTTACTTTATATCGCGGAAGCCCGGCCTCAAAAATGGGCTGTGTTCTGCGAATCTAAGGCATCCCTTCAGAGCTTGCAATCAGCTTTACCACAAAGTGTGCATCGACAACTAGTGAATGAAATAACAGAAGTACTTCCCGAAGTTTTATCGAAAGGACATGACGTGTTGTTCCGGTGGTTACCGGGACATTGTGGCATTGTCGGTAACGACCTTGCTGCTGATGCTTCCCGATCCGCCCACGCGGACGCCCACACAACACCAATATCCTTATCGAGAACAGACGCTGCAAAGGGCCTTCATTCGTTCGCTAACACTATGTCGGAAACTTGGCTGAGTGTGTCGGGAACCGCCGCCTACATAAATTGGGCCCATCGAGAAAGCTTCAAGTTCCATCGGACCTCTCCCACCGGGATGCAACTTTACTGTGCCGCCTGTGATTAGGAGTGGCTTTCATAAAGGCGTACTCCTTTCGAATTGGAATGGCGGATAGCTCCCGATGTGAACCGTGCGACACGGACGAGACAATAGAACATCTACTGTGTTCATGTGAACGTTTTGCAAGCGAACGCAGCTTGCTACGTGAAACGTTAGAGACACTAGACCTTTTTCCGAAGAGAAGATCCTTGGTTCATGGCTCTACGCGTCGCAGGCCAGCAAAGTGACGCGGGAATCGCTAGGTTCTTTAAAGACGACCAGACTACGCGACCGCTTATAAACGTGCAATGGACAAGGTCACATGTACCCACACATTGCCCTTCACTTCTCTATTTCTTCTCTTTTAACACCCTCACCCCTTTCCCCAGTGCAGGGTAGCAAACCGGACGTGCGTCTGGTTGACCTCTCTGCCTTTCATTTCGTCCTTTACTTCCTCCTCCACCACCTAAAGTGTTTCATGCAGGGGTCCACCAATACTGAAGTGACGTATTTCTGTCACGGAAATGACGTCCAAAATTGTACACGATCAGATGGCAAAGAAAAACATTTCTTCTATAAGAGTCAAACCCATGACCACTGTGTCCACCATTGGTTAGCGCCTGGCACGCTAACCAATGGGCCAGCACTTTTTTTCACAATAACACTGCGCCATCACCACATACTCTGACGACCGTACATATTGTCACGGTAATGAAATCAGTGCAAGTAACACTTTAGCAAGCAGCGGAACAGCTTAGATCGAGCAGCGCGAGTTCGTCGTCGTCTCTTCTGCAGACCAAATCCTTCGACACGCACAAGTAATGATGACACTAGCCACACAACAGCCGGAAACCCACTACATGCTCGTGTCTATGTGCGTCTTTTATATCTAACACTGTCCTGCGGCAGCGCTGTTGGTCAGTGAGGTGGTAACGCATCAAGACCACGATCTGCCCAATGAGCTCCTTCAAAGCGTTGCTTTTTTAACTTTCCCTTTCTCTTTCAACCCACTATTCCCCAACCCCAGTGTAGGGTAGCATACCGGATACTTGCATTTGGTTAACCTCCCTGCCTTCCTTTTTTCTCGTCTCTCTCTCTACCTTCAAAGCGTCGTTGCTACGTGTCCATATAATGCGAAGCGTTTTTAAAAGAAAACGTGCAATTTAGTCGACGCTTTAACGAACCGCCACGCGGCAACCTTAGCCCAAGCGTCCTAGGGAGACGACACGACCTGCCGGCCGGTCATGTACGCTCCCTAAAGCGTTCAAAACTTCCGCCTCGCTCATAGCCTCCATTTATCCAAACCAAGAAATGACTATGCTGTAATCAATGAGGATTAAAAGAAAATTGCTGGAGTGGAAGGTCTCAGAATTCCTTGCCAGCATAAGCGAAGCCAGCTTTCGCCCACCAAACATCACGGAAACAGGCTCTTTTCTGGCGGTGCCCACTCGAAGATTTGATCTGTTTGTGTAAGCGTTACATTAATTATAAATTGAATGATAATTGTTCCTGACGACATAATCATAGGGACGAGTATTGGTGACTTAATCTACACTAAAATTTGCCGAGAATTCGAGGCTTACTAACGAAGTCTTGTAACACAAAGACGCACTTCGAGCGCTATCTGACTCGAGAAAGTCGCCACTTGGGCGTGCGAGGAAAACGCTTGGTTTCAATCGGCAAACGCCGACGGTTTATTGTGCCCCTAGTAAGAAGGCGGCCCCAGCCGCCATCTTTAGGTGGTTACGGCTTCACTCCTGGGGTGCTATGCAGGATGGCCCGAGCTTCTCGGGCAGACGAGTTTGCTCCGAGCTCGCTCTGCGGTGGCCATGGCATGAAGACAGTGCGGAGCACGTGATAGCATGCAACACTGATGCAACAAACACATGTGGGACATTTGCGGCAGTTATCAAAGAAACACCATGTGCTAACACGTCAGCGTCGCCACTCAGTCAACATTTTTAACAGTGCAGCAACGTCAGCGTGATTGCCGCGCTATCTTTTTGCCAACTCAACACGGGCCTCCCACAGGCGTGCTCATGCGCGTTTGTCCTCTTTCGGACAGGTTCTTTCATTCCACCTGCAGCATAGAATTTTTTTTTTTTACTCTCGAAGGCAGCAGGGGTGCATTCATTGCACTCTTGTGCTGCTCGCTTCGCTCTTACCAAATATTGCCGATAAATATAAGCACAGGTGGTCACCAGGGGAGCTTGCATCATGGTGGCAATACGGCTCTGATTGGATACGTAGTGAGCGCAGTGAAATTGAGTTCGAAACATCGTAGCCACCTGGTGATACCACTTTCACTTCTGCGTGCGCGTGTGCATAGTCTGCGCGATAAAGCCGATAGATAAATCGTGCCGCTCGACGTGAGTACATGCTCTTCGGCAAGAGCAAACGTGGTGGGCGTACCCGATCTTCGCCGCGGGCGTCTGTCAATCAAACTGATTGACGTGTGTACTCGCTTACAAACTCGTTGATTCTGAGAATGCCCATCTGCTTAAAATTATGTCCACCTGGGCCATCGGTTAGTTTATCCCTTCTGTTCAGTCTTAGTTCACTGTCTGTGTATCTGGCCCATTCACTTCCAACCGCTTTTCTTATCTATCGTGTTTGCCCTGACTGCCTGGCACAGCACATCTACACCTCCTCGTTTTTTTTATAACACTGAAGTGTTTCATGCAGGGGTCCAACAATACTAAAGTGACGTATTTCCGTCACGGAAATGACGTCCAAAGTTATACACAATCAAATGCAAAGAAAAACGTTCCTTCAATGAGAGTCGAACCCACGACCACTGGGTCCTCCAAAGTAGCAGCCTGACATGCTAACCAATGGGCCAGGACATTTTTTTTTATTTATTACACTGCACCATGACCACATACTCTGACGGCCGTACATATGCACCTTTTATATCTAACACTGTCCTGTGGCAGCGCTGTTGGTCGGTGAGAACGCATCAAGACCACGACCCGCCCAATGAGCTCCTTCAAAGCGTTGCTATGCGTCCATATAACTCGAAGCGTTTCCAAATAAAATCGTGCGATTTAGTCGACGCTTTAACGAACCACCACGCGGCAACCTTAGCCCAAGCGTCCTATAGAGAGACGACACGACCTGCCGGCTGGTCATGTAGGCTCCCTAAATCGTTCAAAACTTCCGTCTCGCTCATAGCCTCCATTTATCCAAACCAAGAAATGGCTTTGCTATAATCAATGAGGATTAAAAGAAAATTGCTGGAGTGGAAGATCTCGGAATTCCTTGCCAGCATAAGCGAAGCCAGCGTTCGCCCACCAAACACCATGGAAACAGGCTATTTTCTGGTGGTGCCCACTTGAGGATTTGATCTTTATGTGTAAACGTTATATTAATTATAAATTAAATGATAATTCTTCCCGACGAAACAATTATAGGGACGGGCATTGGTGACTTAATCTACAATAAAATTTGTCGAGAATTCGGGGCTTACTAATCAAATCTAGTAACACAAAGAAGCACTTCGAGCGCTATCAGACTCAAAAAAGTCACCACATCAAACTTGTTGGGGGTGTGAGGAAAACGCTCCGGTTCAATCGGCGAACGCCGACACTTTATAATGCCCCTACTAAGATGGCGGCCGCCATCTTTTTGCGTGGTCACGCGTCTATATATGGTTACAGCTTCACTCCTGGGCGATTATTTCTGTACTACTAATTCAACGTGTGCCTACCTAGCGTGGCTGTAACACCGCATTCACTGCTTACGATCGCCCTAAGAAAATTCGCGCCAGGCAAACAGGAGCGACCCCACGCGCGTTGCGCTTCCCTTCAGACGAGCCGTGACGTTCGATAACTCTTGAACATGCCGCGAGTGTGCGGCCATAGCCCAAGTCCTGCGGACAATCAGCAGCACTCTTCTGACAGTCACACCACTTTTAGCGATTCCGCTCTCACCGGTACCATCTACGGCTACCATAAAGTTCATTCATTGAGCATGGACGGTGTCATCGTATTGTAGATGTACGAGCAAGCATCAACGTGGGTACATTCACGTTAAATGCTGCTATAGGTGGTACACATCAAAAGACATTGCGCAAACTCGCTTATATCAGTGTCTAGCAAACATTCAAATCGCCTTCACAATATTTGTTCTAAGCATACCTCCAGTTTTTCCATCGGTCGGTCTGCTTTGTGCACCCCGACTATGCCCATATTGTCTGTATGTCTGTCTATGTGATCCTGTTCTGCCTGTCACTGTTCTGTCATCTCTCAACTGTCCTATCTGCCACGATCAGTTGTGCTATGCTTGTTCGAGCCCACAGCTATCTTTCTATTACTTCTTTATCACGTTCTGCGTCTGCCTGCCACGGCTTTGTCCATCTGTGTCTATGTAGTGATGATGATGTGAATGTGCCGTTGTGGCGGCGATAGTTATGATAATGGTGATAACGAAAGCACGTGCCCTTACCTTGCACGGTAAGCAGGAATGTCCTGACTTCATGAGCGTGAAAGCATAGCGTGGTGTCGAATGGCAGCCAGTCGCTCAGGTCCGCCTCGAACTCGTAGATGTGCCGCTTCTCTATGACGTCCCCACCCTCATTGCAGAAAAGTGAAACACAGGGTCAACGACAAAGTGAGCTACATTGAGAACACTTCCTCACGCGAACTGACCACCCTCACTGTTGCGACCTAAAGAATGCACGTAATATCGTGTAGTCTACAGTGTCAAAGGCAGGATTTCAAAATGATCTATCTATCTATCTATCTATCTATCTATCTATCTATCTATCTATCTATCTATCTATCTATCTATCTATCTATCTACTTCTATCTATCTATCTATCTATCTATCTATCTATCTATCTATCTATCTATCTATCTATCTATCTATCTATCTATCTATCTATTCATACCGTTACACTCACCATATGTAGATTCTACCACCAATACCTCCTTTACTAGATGCCTTCCGCGTGGTGCTTTAACCCGGTTCCACACCCTCTCTCTCTTTCTTTTTCTTCGTGGAAAGGCAACGAGCGCCGCGGGCGGCAAAACGGCTGCAACAAAGGTCAAGTGATGCTGCCTCTGAGATTGCCATCGCGCTTGTATACCTTCTCGGAGGGGGTACCGAAACTTCCATAGCGAAACTTCGAACGGCAGCGAAACTTCCATAGAAGTATACGTTCAAAAAATGGCGGCCCGTCACTAAGCCCCAGCTGCAGCCGGCGCTAAGCCCCAGCTGCACATGGGGCTTAGCGCCATCTGTGCGAGAAAGGAACGCTTCCGGCCGGACAAAAAATCAACTAAATGTGACGCAATAGCTGGTAAACAAGTGACGTCATTTTGCGTGCACTATCGCGATTTGATCTCAAATTACTCTTCATATGCCCCTGATCGCTAAAGACTCGCGCTAAGGCGATTGCCGGCGAGTCATCCACGAGTGCGCTTTAAGTCAACGCCAGCTAATCTAATGCTGACTCATTACTGACTGATGATGTTTAAATGTACTACCGTTCATTTTGCCTCGATTTTACAAGAAAACTTATTCTTCGAACTTTTATTTGCCGTTTGTGACATCTTCCATCGATGAATTAAGGCAACCAATAGCGTATACAAATGATACCTGCAGCATGGCTTATTTTTTTTTTTCACACATACGCAGGTTCTTTCGCTCGCGCATTGCTTCCGATTTTCTGTTTTAACATGAAGAAATGAGGCCTATATAGCACGCCAAAATGCTGACATTTTAGTTTTATTTGATGGTCACAATAATTCAAATTTATTAAACTGCACAGAATGGTAATAAGAACAAAAACATCAGCGGGCACTCCCTGCGTTATGTCTTTCTTTTTTTTTTTTGCATTATGCTCCGATAAATTACCGGTACGTATGCGAATGAAGACATGCGAATGATGCCGTGATAGACAACTTGGCAATCTGCTCAACGATAACGCGAATAGTAGACGCTGCATGCTCAAGAAGAAAACCGGGCTGCAGGATTATTGATGGATGAAAGACCAGCGAGCAGTGCATTCCGAAATATTGTCCTTGCTTCTTATCTAGAAGACGTGGGGCACCAGGCATACGTTTGCTGCAACTGCATCCTTGCGCAGCACATTTTAGGGGCAAAACTCCTTATAGCGGCACCCGTTCGTCCCCCGTAGTATGTAACAAGTATAACATTTTGACCTCCAAGGTGGTGCCGGTGAGAGACTTCTTCTGTGCGTTGTTGAACAATAAAAAATAGTGCTCAATGTACATGTCAATGGCTGCTAATGGGGAATGAGAGACAGGAGCATTCGGTTTTTAGTTAACGCGCAGGCTGCAATCACCATTAGCAGCCATTGGCATGTACATTGAGCACTATCTGACAAGAAAGGGTTGTTACGTTATACTCGCTGGGTGTTACCTCCTTAGCTTTAGAAAGGTTTAGCGAGCGTTGAGGTGCAGTGCCATGAATACAATGAAATTGTATATACCATGAGCAACTCAGCCGTTTTTACTAACACAGTGGAACTGCAGAGGTCTCAAGAACCACAAGAAGCGGGCTCATTTCCGCCTCTATCTTGAGACCTTTGAGTTCCTCGTTGCCGTGGTTGCCCTTCAGGAACCCGGCTCGGACGTCAAACTCACAAATTACACTACATTTCAACACAACCCGGAGACATGTATACTTGTTCACAAGCAATATACCGCCCAGGAAGTCACACTCCCCACAACACCGCCTTTCCCATACACAATGGTGTCGGTGCTGCCTATAAGGCGATCTGACCCACCTGTTCATATTTTAAACATTTACTGTCCCCCAAAGCTTAAGAACGTCACGTTCAGCGAAACTTTCACACAAGCTATGCCGGTGACAGGACGGGACCCCCTCCTGATCGTCGGCGGCTTCAATGCCCCAAGCAGATTATGGGGTTACCCACGAGAGGACACGCGTGGAAGGAAGCTTGCGGAACTTCTTTCTACACTTGGACTCACCCTCCACACTGATCCCGCCAGCCCAACACGTGTAGGCAACTCTGTTCAACGAGATACTTGCCCGGACCTCACAATTACACGCAACATACGCCATGCCGACTGGCTGAACACACAGGACACTCTCGGTAGTGATCATTGTGTATTAAACACAACTGTGTACATGCGTCCCTTAAAACGCCCACTTACACAAGCTCGTATCCCAGACTGGACAACTTTCCGCACCACTCTACCTATTGTAGACCCTCTCCAGTCGGGATACGACACATGGTCTAAATCACTGACGTCTACACTGAAACAACACGAACAGCTGATACAGCTCACGGAAACTCAAACGGACGTTTGAGCTGTATCACCTCCTCCATCTTTGGCAGGCCCACCGCAGCCTCACCAAACGATGGGAAAAACAGAAACATAACAGACGCCTCAAGAAACGCATCCTAGAACTCACGGAGCAAGCTGCGGAATATGCTGCTCAGCTAGCCGACACTAACTGGGTGGACAGGTGCAACACGGCTGCACGCCAGATGTCTGGTCGCAACACGTGGCGCCTGTTTCGCGCTCTCATCGATCCAACACAAACACGCACGGAAACTCAACGTCACTTACATAAGGTCATGCACAACTTTACAGGAACGACAACACAGCTGGCAAACACGCTCAGGGACCGATACCTGTGCACCACCAAGGACCCCTGGACGGCCGCATACTCCTACGCAGGCAAAAAGAACACGCAGTTGGACACCCCGTTCCAGCTCCACGACCTCCAGGCGGCCTTACGCAAGATGAAGCGTGGCACTGCACCAGGGCGTGACCAGGTTACGGTCAAACTGTTGGCCAATCTTCCCGACGCAGCCTACGCCACGCTCCTCAAATACATCAATAGCATTTGGGACGGAGAAACTCCTCTCCCTCTTGAATGTAAATCAGCTCTCGTGACCTTCATCCCGAAGGCAGGTAAACCTATTGACGTGGAGAACCTTCGCCCCATCTCCCTCACGTCTTGTGTCGGCAAGCTGATGGAAACGATGGTGCGCGACAGACTCTCCGAGTTTCTAGAAACACAGCACACTTTTGCGGACACCATGTTTGGATTCCGCCCTCAGAAGTCAGCCCAGGATATACTTCTACAGCTCCACCATGACATATTAGATCCTGTTGAATGCCCCCACAATGACAAGGTAGTCCTGGCCTTGGATCTTAAAGGGGCATTCGACAACGTGAAGCATGAGGTAATCCTTGACCACCTCAGTCAGACCAACTGTGGTTATAAAACATTCAATTATGTTAGACAGTTTCTTGCAGACCGTCGAGCCTACATACGCATACAAGATGAGGAACATGGGCCTTACGTCATCGGCTCGAGGGGAACTCCTCAAGGCGCGGTCCTCTCTCCCCTCCTATTTATTATAGCCATGCTTCATCTTCCCCCCAAATTGGCTTCTTTACCAGGGATACATCACGCTCTTTACGCGGATGATATCACGATCTGGGCCACGCAAGGTAACCTGGGTCACATGGTGTCATGCCTGCAAGCAGCAGCGACTGTAGTCGACGACTACGCAACCTACTGCGGACTCCAGTGTGCCCCGGCTAAGTCAGAATTTGTGCACGTACGTCCCTCCCCTCAGGACACAACTCAGCTCCATATCAGTCTTCCCTCGGGACCGATCCGTGAGGCCAAGGAAATCCGCGTCCTTGGCCTCTTCATACACCACCAACGCAAGGCCGACACCACAATAGCCAAACTTCGCACGGTGGGAGACCAGGTGGGCCGTATGGTCCGCCGGGTCTCCAACAAGCGGGGCGGATTACGAAGCAGGGATGCAATGCGGCTTGCCCATGCTTTCGTAACGAGTAGAATACTCTACTCGACTCCCTACTTGCACCTACGCAAACACGAGGATGATCAACTCGAGGTCATCCACCGTAAAGTTATCAAGCGGGCTCTCGACCTCCCTATCACCACGTCCAACCAGAGACTTCTGGCCCTAGGCGTGGTGAATACCTACCGAGAACTTCGAGAAGCCCACCTCGTTAACCAATACACGCGCCTTGCACAGACCCATTCCGGTCGCCGCCTCTTGGACCGAATACACATCAAACACGATTACTATATTGAGGAAAGGGTGAGAGTGCCAGAACCTTGGAGACGCGCCCTCCGGGTCCGACCCCTTCCCCGCAACATGTCCAAAGAAAACCACAGTGGTCGCCGCCAGGCGCGCGCGGAAGCGTTGCAGCGACACTTTGGTCAAGAGGAACACGTGTGCTACGTGGACGTTGCCGGCCCGCACCATCGGGGGTGGTATACTGCCGCAGTCATACACAACGCAAACACCGTAAACGGGCTCACTTTCAAAGCCTACAGCGCAACACACGCGGAGGAGGTTGCCATCGCTCTGGCTCTCACCTATCCCACTTCTAAACATATCATCACCGACTCACGAGGGGCCTGTCGGAACTATCAGCTAGGGTGGGCTTCACCGCTTGCTCAGCGCATACTGGAACCTAGCTGCCGATACGTTAATCCAACTCCGCGAAATCTGGTTTGGGCACCCGGTCACCAAGGACTCAGGGGTAACGAACAGGCCGATCAGGCCGCCCGCGCACTCTCTTCCCGGGCTATCTCCCTGTCTTGGAAGCCTACTCGCAATCAGACAATTCGGCCCTTTCATTCAAAGATATTACCAATTACTACAAGGAGGAGCACTGGCGCTATCCAGACCCTTGTAAGGGACTGCATCGCGCTGACGAGCGCCTCCTTTTAAAACTGTTTACCAATACCGTACTGTGCCCGGCGGTGCTAAAACATTTCAATTCATCCTTTGATGGCACGTGCCAGTTCTGTGGTGAGGTGGCTGACACCTTTCACATCGTCTGGGCGTGCCAGTCTAATCCATCTATCCCCCCCAACCCCAATCCCACGAAAGAGGACTGGGAGGCGGCCCTGCTCGGCTGTCAAGACCTGAAGGCCCAAGAGGCTCTGGTTCAACGTGCGCGGGCGGCGTTGCTTGCCAATGGAGCCCCGGAATAGGGGTTCCACCTAGTGCTGTGAGGGTAGGAGGCTAATAAGGCCCCAACCCAATCACCTCTCTGTAACCACTTAATGGTTATTAAATGTTTTCACCACCACCACCACCATATACCATGAATGAACTCGAGGTGGTTAAAAATGGGAAGTAGATACGAAGCGCAAGCCGTAAGAAAGTAAAAGGCGAATTCTCCGCCTCTCATTTCCCATTAGCAGCCATTGGCATATACATTGAGCACTATCTGATCGAAAAAGTTTGCTACGTCATACTCGCTGGGCGTAACCTCCTTGGTTTTCGAAAGGTTTAGCGAGCGTTCGGCCGCAGTGCCATGAATAGAGTGAACTAGTATATACCATGAGCTCGAGGTGGTTAAAGGTGGGAAGTAGACCCGAAGCGCAAGCCGTAAGAAAGTGTGCGTGTGCCACATCTCGTTTAGTCCTTGGAATGTCCGCTGGATGGCGGTGCTTCTATATGGGGAATATACGATGAAAAGATGCGAGATGGTGGTACTTGGAGTGTTGAATAGATGGACGAGCGGACACATAGACAGATGCATGGATGGACACATGAACGGACGCAGGGACGGACGCACGAACAGACGCACGCACGGACGGGCTTATGGACGCATGGACGGTCACACTGACGGACGCATGGACGGACGGAAGCAAGAACGAATGGAGGGACGAATTCTTCGCCCCACTCTCCATCATTCACTCCGTGGATATGCTGCCATTTTTTTTCCGCAGCTACCGACGAAAGTACTTAGCGTTAAATGCCATTCGCATCGTTTCGCTGCCCGTCGGGCACTGCACTGAAGACGTCCACCAAGGATAAGAAACACCTAAGCATTTTGCGCACAAGAGAGTACGCAAGCAGGCGCAGAACACAAAAACACGCGAGGGGGTGTGTCTTCGCAGACGAATGTTACGAGCGGGCCTTGCCATGTGTACCCATGTAGTGCATGGGAGGCACTGAGTGATAATAGCATGGGCAGAGGGCGCTGGAAAAAGACTTTTCGTAATAACGAAAACCATCGTAAATTCTTTGTTCATCACACGTATGTACTATTGTTGGGCGAAAAAAGCGCATTTGTAAAACTAATTGAGTGCATCAAATTTGAATCAAACTTGTTTTTTTTTTCACTATTAGTGTTTGTTCCCTCCACGCGTAGGCTGTGTTCCAATACTCACCGTTCCGACAGCTCTGAGAAGACCACATCGTAGACTACTTGCTGCAGGCTACTTTGCTACATGCAGGCTACTTTGTTGTCTAAACAATATGGCGGCTCATCGAATCACTCAAATAGATCGAACATCGCCGGAATGGTTGTCTGCACACGAGTTGACGCTTTCCCAGACGCTAAATGTGAGTAACGTTTATTTGTTTTCGATTTCAACATGAAATAAGCCAGAAAATACAACTGTTACGTTTGTTTATTTTAGCTTTTTCTTCTCGACGCGAGGTGGCGCATTGTCACGTAAAAGCAGTCTAAATGTGTTCCATTTCTCGGACAGCATGGGCTCGAAGCTGTCTTCTAAGCAGTCTTCGTAGACTGTCTACGTGCTGTCTAAGAATTGGAACAGAGCAATAGCCCCACTTCAATCCCAGCTCCCATAACTCTCTATGCTGATGTCGCTGGCAATAGCCTCTGAGCCGCTTTTCGCCCGAGCCTTCGCGACTATTTAAAGGGACCTTGCCCTACATTTCAGCTGCCACCGGAAGTCGGCAAGGCGACGAGCACCGCCTCACAGATTTGTAGAGAACTCAATGAAACCACAATGGGACAGCAAGCGAGGCAGCGGGCATCTAGTCTAGGAGGCATTGGTACAGCCAGCATTTTAGAAACCATGAGACACACACACCAAAAAAACCACAGCATATCCATGGAGTGAATGACGATGAGTGGCGCGATGCATCCGTCAGCCCGTCCGTTTGTTCTTGCTTCCGTCCATCCGCGCGGCCACCCGTGGGTCCATCCATGGATCCGTCCGTATGCCCATGCGTCCGTCCGTGCGTCCGACCATCTGTTCGTCCGTCTTCTAGTCTGTCTGCCCATCCGTCCGTGCGTCCATCTAGTGAACACTCCAAGTACCGCGACCTCGCGTCTCGCATACCCTGTGGCACATACCCAATCCGCGGGTCAGTCTGCTAGTCTGTCTGTCTGTCAGCCCGTGCGACCATCTAGTGAACACTCCAAGTACCGCCATCTCCCATCTCGCATACGCTGTGGTACATACCCGCTCTTGAGCGGGTATGTGCCAGCGGTGGCTACGTACGACAACAACGGAGGAAGGATAGACCCACACCCTAAGGAGCTCGCCCCTAAAAGGAGTATTCCAGAGGCTTCCGCAGCCAACCTATAGACCTAACGCAAACATTACTGCCATCTGTCAGTCGTTGCGTGCTTAGCCGCCATGTTTGAGGCTCAGCGCGGTGCAGTGGTCACAGTCCGCGTGTGTTTACGAATACGAAGGTGTATCGACGTGAAGCGTGTATTGGCTGATAACCACGATGCCGACGTACTGCTGCGCCCCTTACACAGTGAAAATACTCGAAATACTGAAGGAAAGAAGGTAAGTCGTAAACATTGCCCCTTGTAAATTTTTCAAGCTGACGACGTTTCAAGCATGTGCTCCGGCTACTGCTCCCGAAAGACGTCTTTGCGTTCCATTCTAAACAAATAAAAGGGGCAATAACATTTGTACGAGTCCTTCCACAAATTTCTGCATGCCGAAGCAAGGCAGTTTTCCAACACTTTCGCTAGCATCCATTTACTAAGCAAAGGTGACTCGTAGGCCTCACGCTGAAGCTACCTTCCCGCAACGAGCTTTATCGCGGCTAATTGCGAGTGCCTGCATTTCGTCCAATGTTCCGAGCACATAAAATGCTTGAAAAAAATGTGTTCAGTCACGCGCACATCATCCCAGTAAACGGTAGCTTGTCACACTTCAGAATAGAAAAGGAAACAACACGAAACAAAGATGATTTATCATTGTATCTGCCTTCTCAGAATTCAGCGATGACGTGCCCTTGCTTCTATTTCAGCATGCGCCGTTACCGAAACGTGACAAAAAAAAAAACATTCGACGAAATGCAGGCACAGGCAGTTATAGCCGCGATAAAGCTTGTTGCGTCAAGGTCCATGGCTTATGTGTGAAGCGTACGAGCCACCTTATCTTTGTAAATGGCTGCTATAGCGGAAACGCTGCAAAAGCTGCCTTGCTTCGGCGTGCAGCAATTTGTGGAAACCCAAGTTCAAATCCTATTACACGTCTTCCTTGCGCAGAAAGGACAACGCAAACCCGAGTTTCGGAAGCACTATAGCCAGTGCACATGCTGAAAACGTCATCAGCTTGAAAAAATAACATGGTGCAAAGTTTGCAGCTTACCTTTTTTCCTTGAGCATTCATCTCTGTGTGCAGCAAGGAACGCAGCGATTTGTCAGCATTGCGATTATCGGCCAATACACGCCTTACGTCGCTACGCCTTACGTATACGTCTACGTAAGAACACGCGAAGACTGCACCGCGCTGAACCTCTAACATGGCGGCTATGCACACGACGGCCGACAGATGGCAGCAATTCAGCACACGGACTAGAGTGCCTCGATGCCCGCTCCTCCGCTCAGAGTGAAGACATCTGCTGCGGCCGCCATTGCCACTCCCGTAGCATACTGGTGTCGCTCTTGTGCGTAGTGGCCCACTAGCTTAACGAGAATGGTTTTAACCCTGAGTAACTGAACATGCAGGCATAACCTGCCCAATAAAGCCGACTCGTGAGCTCTAAAGCTTGCCGAAGACGCTGCAGGCACTACAATGGCGGAGGAAGCAGCACAAAAGGTGGCAGCACCCTGAACGCGGGGGCGCCCGTCGAGGCACCCTAATAAAGTCTATAACTCAAATTTCACGCAAAACGTGCAAACAACACGCGCTGTCAAGATTGACCGAATGCAGTCACTAACTGCAGGAAAATTTAAAAAATTTTCTCAGACCAGGTGGTCCCCGAAGCTTTGACGCTGACTATACGTGTATGCAACGCACTACCGTGCTCACCTGGGCTTGGTCGAAAAGTTCCATGTAAACGGGTAGCGTAGCTTCTTTCATCTCATTTTCCTGAAAGAAAAAAAAAACAAAGAAATGCCAGTTTGTGCTTACGCATGCCTATGTGTGTGTACGCGCTCTTGCAGGCAATAGAGAGTTTTAGCTCAGCGCGCGCAACGGCCTAGCGCACGCATCGCCCGAGAAGGACAACGGCTGCGCATGCGCGGTACGTAAGAGAGATGGGTGTGTTTGCGCAAGCGAGGGATGCCTACACTTGATCTCGTCTCTTACGTTGCGCACGCCATGGACTAATATACACTAGAGGGAACTCTGGCGCTAGTGTCTATGGGAGCTGCAACGCACGGCGCTTCAGTGAGCATGGGAATTATGGGTAGTACACACATTTGTTTAAACTTCGTAGTTCTGGCCAGCTTTTTGCTCCGTGTGTGTTCGTGTGGCTTGAAGCTGTTTTCTCACGAAACAAAAATTCGCAAATGTTCAGCGATTGCGCTTCACCACCCAATGTTTTTTTTTTCGTTTACCTTTCCGAATTGGGTCACGAAGTTCAAAAGGGTTGAATCTTTCTTTCAAAACAAAATCGAAACACAGCAATGAACGAAGCCGCAGGTACGATTCGCCGCCCGCAAGTACGAAGACTAGGCAAATGTGTGTACTACCCATCATTCCCATGGTCGCGGAACGATCGCAGCGCAAGAGTGTCCTCTAGTTAATTTTGAGAAACTCTATGGCGCACGCTACAGCCGTTGTAGTATCGTGCGTCGGACACGCCGCACGGAGAACACAGGGCACGGCGCTGAAGTGCCGGCCGACAAGAAGAACGCAGCAGCCGATAGCCAAGCAAGAACTCCTTTATTATATACAATGCCACGCATATATATATACAGGGTGGCGCCACCTAAGGACGAGAATACTTTACATGAAACCGAAACTAGCTTTGCTTGAAACCGAAACCGAAACACCACACTTAGCAGGGGCTCTCGCGAGATCTCTCCCTGGTGAGAGCACGAAAACCAAGATGGCCGCGACCAACAGCAGCACGAGCAGCAGTGCAGTAATGGATGCGAGGAAATCCCGCCTGAATTTTACAATTGCCCTCGATTTTGAACTCCTTGCTTACGTGAGGAGCTCAAATCAGTTCGCTGACCCCGTGCAATTGAATTTTATCACTGTGAAAATACAGGAGCTGACGGGGATGGCTTTCAACGGCCGGAATGTCCGCAGTTTCATGTCTCATTTAGAAGTACTTGTTGCTGGGCTAGTTGGTTCGCCATAATCAGGGAAACCTCTCGAAGCCTAAACGACCACAAGAAGAAAGACACACCAAAAAAGAGCGTCAACTCGCAACTGATTTATTCGCAGGAGAAACGCAGGAAATATATAGCCGCACCACACATGCGCAAAGCACACTACTTCACCCAGATGACCACAATTAAAAACTGAGGACAATAAAAAAATTTCTAATCAAGCAACGAAGTCCAAAAATCAAGCTCAGACATGCGCAAAACCACTGACGTGTTATTTATACACAAGTCACCTTTTTTCTTTATCCAGAACGCTTCCATTATTTCACGGGCCAGTCCATCTGAGCTTTTTGCAAGAACCGGAACGCTTGAAAACCTCGCCTCACAACAACAGGAACGGCAATGTGCAGACAAATGTGCTCATGAATTATTTCGATGTGAAAGCTCGTGTTCCGTAATTTTCACGTTTAAACACCGTCCCATTTGGCCGATGTAAATTCGGCCATAACTAAGTGGAATTAAATACACCACACCCACCATGCAAATCACCTACATCGAAGCGTGTATTTTCCCCCAGGTGGAGGCGACTGGTGCTATATAAATACGTGGGCATATGGCAGCCAGCTTTTGTGGCGCAGAAAAAACAACAGACACATACCTGTTCACCACGTTCTTAAGGTTGGGGTATACCTTATGAACATAAGGTACAACCATGGGTCATTTGTCCCTCGGCTGCCTACATTTTCGTGTGCCCTTCAACTTTTTTGAAGGAGGGTTTCGGAAACGGATACAATGACAGAGTTAGGATAGCCAGCTGAATGCAGCCGCCTAGCTAACCTGACTCAAGTAGCTATCGTGCATTCTATGAGGGCAAGATTTCGTCAGGGCTAGCTCGAGACACATGGTCGCAATGGCTCTTTTTACAAGTTTAGAATGAGCCACATCAAAAGGTAAAACTCCCAAGCATTTACCCGAGGGTGAACATGGTTAAGTGCGAATACACGGGGTGATGCTATAAGGGGTATTTATTAATTCGCACTATTATATTTATTAATCACACAATGGTGCCTTTATGGTGTAATGGTTCCTGGGAATCGCAATTTGATCACACGGGGGAGTTTACGTTAACTCACTGGCGAATGCCAACGGATTTTAGCTTTACTCCCCCTCACGACCCGCTCTCGACGGGAGACTGAGAGAGAAGGCGGGCGCGCGAGAGAGAGGGGTGCGCGCGCAGCTGCAGCGAGCGAGGAGAGCGGAGGAGCGATATAAGGGGGAGGAAGTATAAGGCGCGTTACTGACACCGATATCAGCGTCGCGTCCGTGGCTTATTCGGTAGAGCGTCGCGCTGCGGCCCGCCAAGTCCTCTTTCTTTTAAAGATAGAGAGAAGACTGCGGACGCCGCCGACGGCGGTGGATGGTTTGGGGTCGCTTATAAAGTGTATTCACACTTAAAAGCTCTTTGCGTGAACGTGGATGATACGCCTAGCAAACGTGTCACTCCGAGAACATGATGCTCAAGCCTAAAAACTGCAATTTGTTGTCAATGGAAGCTGATGCGTAAACGAAAGGCCGTTAGGATGTTGTCTGAAAAGTGCTAATATTTCATCCACTGAACTAGTGGTGGTTGTCAAAGGTCAGTGTTTAAAATTCCTAAAAAAATCATCCACATACCGAGAAACTTTCAGCGCCTTTTCATCGTCAAGTTCTTAAGCTAAAATGGTGTCAAGGGAAGCTAAGAACATGTTACACAGCATTGGAGCGACACAATGCCCAATGCCGATCCCTTTTCGCTGAACGCAAAGATTGACATCATGTGATACAAAAGTTGAGGTGAGATAAAATTCTAACAACGTTATGAAGTTATCTAGAGACACGCCTGCGGCCATCTCGAACGCTATAGAACTCCGTTCTTTTCCGTACAAGTTCTAACAATTTTAAATAGCTCTGAGTGCAGCACAAAATAGAAAAGGTCTTCATCATCGACTGAATAGCCTTACACACCTCCCTGGAGGCAGTGCAGAGTCTGCGTAACGTCATACGAGTTCTTCACTGCAAACAGGTCTCTGACCGCTACTTTGCTAAGGTGTTTCAGTAGATAATGATTCGTGGCAGTTGCATGTAAGCAAATTTCTACTGAAACACACGAGCCTTCAATTCTAAATAATTCAGGAGCACAATCGCCTGCACATTGCCGTTCCTGTTCTTGTGAGACGAGCTTTTCAAGCGTTTCGGTCCTCGCAAAAAGCTCAGATGCATTGGCCCGTGAAACAATGGAAGCGTTCTGGATATAGAAAAAAGGTTACTTGTGTATAAGTGACACGTCAGTGGTTTTGCGCGTGTCTGAGTTTAATTTTTGGACTTCGCTGCTTGATTAGATACGCCTTTTGATTGTCCTCAGTTTTTATTTGTGGTCATCTAGGTGAAGTATAGTGTGCTTTGCGCATGTGTGGTGCGGCTATATAGTTCCTGCGTTTCTCCTGCAAATAAATCAGTCGCGAGTTGACGCTCTTTTTCTGTGTGTCTTTCTTCTGGTGGTGGTTTAGGCGTCTAGAAGTTTCCCCACAGTGTCATGTCTCATGTCTTGACTCGTATCAACAAAGGTTGGCTAATGTAGTTTATTGCCTAGTCACCAGATGGCACCAAGTAGCACTTCAAGACGAAGGTGTTGACGCTTAGGCGCAGTCCATGTGTCCGTTGTTGCGTACGCTACAGCCTCAGCTGTAACGTACGTAGCGCGCTAGCCGTTGCGCACGTACCGCCTTGCGCGCGCTAAACTAAAACTCTCGAATATCTTTTTGCGCCTCTCCCACCCACATGCCGAAAACAGTTGTGTCATTACATGCACTTGTCAAGACTATCTATTTGTTGGCTAATTACAGTTACCGCCAATGTTAGTTAAATATGACTAAATTATGGCCGATGGTCAGTGGTCCTGGCTGGCATTGGCCAAGTAAGTTTGCGCAATTTCGCCTAATGTATTAGCTTAGTGATTGCAAATGTTGACTTAAATCCGCTAAGGCAACATTGTCTTCAAGAATTCTCGAGCCTACGATAATATTATCCGATTTTAATCACAGTTCCTTCTTGACTCCAGTTTGATTGCATCCTTGACTATTGGTGGGATACCTGTAGCGTACCAGTGATATCTGTAGCTGGAGCATGGTAATCAGACATGTATAGCTATATAGTTTGGCTGTAGTTCCGTTGGTCTTACAAGCGAAGCTTTCCCAGGCATTTCCTCGCGCTTGAATTCGCTTCACTACTCACATAGGCGTAGTACAGGTTGGACACCACGGACTTTTCGGGGGCCGCGCTGGCGTCAGCCACGCCTGCGTATACGGCGCAGTTCCAGGACCGGCAACGTCTCTGCCAAGACAGAAGGCAACACGATAAGCAGCACTGCTTCACCGCTTACGGCAGTGCACACAGCTAAAAAACACTTTCTACGCAATATTTCACATTCTTATTACAACGAAGCTGTACACTCAAGCTTCATTGTAATAAAATTGCATTTTACAATAAAATAAGTTTCTTATATCCGGAAATTCGGTATAAAGGTTATTCCGAACACTGTATCTATTGCAAGGCTATTTTTCATTTACTTCGTTATAGCCAATCTTTCGTTGTATTCGTGTTCATGAAATTGAGGTTTGATTGGACATAGCCGGGCACTGGTGAATTACGTCTGTGGACATGAAGGAACGCAGAACAACAATATTGGCGAGTGGGGTGGGTGCGTCTCGCAACACGCTGCACTGCCTCTTTGACAAGTATCGCGATACTCGGCGGCAGCACTCCCCACCAATCGCTGAGCCCCTTTCTTTCGTGCTGTACAGATCGCGCTAGCGCTGCTGTGTAGCCAGCGGCTGTTAGATAGCTTAGATAGATAATTAGATAGATTAGATAGGTTAGATAGATAATTAGATAGATTAGATAGGTTAGATAGATAATTAGATAGATAATTAGATACATAATTAGATAGATAGATAGATAGATTAGATGGATAATTACATAGATAGATAGATAGATAGATAATTACATAGATAGATAGATAGATAGATAGATAGATAGATAGATAGATAGATAGATAGATAGATAGATAGATAGATAGATAGATAGATAGATAGATAGATAGATAGATAGATAGATAGATAGATAATTAGATAGATAGATAGATAGATAGATAGATAGATAGATAGATAGATAGATAGATAGATAGATAGATAGATAGATAGATAGACAGACAGACAGACAGACAGACAGACAGACAGACAGACAGACAGACAGACAGACAGACAGACAGACAGACAGACAGACAGACAGACAGACAGACAGACAGACAGACAGACAGACAGACAGATAGATAGATAGATAGATAGATAGATAGATAGATAGATAGATAGATAGATAGATAGATAGATAGATAGATAGATAGATAGATAGATAGATAGATAGATAGATAGATAGATAGATAGATAGATAGATAGATAGATAGATAGATAGATAGATAGATAGATAGATAGATAGATAGATAGATTTTTAAAGTGCCTACAGTACGCTAAGAAATGCTTCGCATTTAATACGGGTGCAGACGCCACCCTGCGATTCCCACACCAAACACCTTGACGTCATTTACTTTGAAGCCGCCTACTGGATCCTACGTAGCTTGTCATTGATAAAAACGAAATACATAATCATCTGTGGGTGCCACATACCTAGCATACGAAGGTTCAGAAAAAGTAGATCTCGTTGAAATTTTCACGTTACACGCGGAGATTTCGGCGCGCAATTTAAGGACACTTCAACCTTGATTTTCTCCGCTAATAATAAACTCGTGATAGTGAATCATATGGAATAAAAGTTCTCTGAGTGCAGTTGATCAATATAAATCAAGTTATTGTTTATTTTTAGTGCACCTTAAACAAGCTTTAAAATATCCTGGCGCTGCCCCTGGTTTCTTGCGCTAGAAACGTATATCGTATTTACTATCGACCCATTAAATAATACGATTGGCGTACCTCTCCAGCCTTCTGGAATGCGTAGTCGTGCTTCGCTCCCCAGACAAGGTCCACCGGTTCGGGGACAGTCAACTCTTGCTTTTCCATCACGGAGGCCTGACACTTGCCCGTGCCTGGAGTGATGAGATATTTCATGCCTGCGAGAGAAGGGAACGTGACTGGGCGCATTGTTCTAGACAACCGATCCGACCTAGTTAGTTGGTGTATGAGGCTCAAAGTCAGCCTCATGCACTGACATAAAATGGAAGGGGGGTGCTGTGGCAAATCTTTTCCCTCCCCCTGAAGGGAGGGGTACCCTGCGCGTGCCTATGTTCAGGCGTATGCTGCGTGTAGGATACATGACAACTTGCCCGTGTAGTAGTCGTAGACGCCCCTCAAGACCGGCGTGTCGGCATCCTCGTTGTACGTTTCCCGGGCAACCAGGAAGCTGGGGAGGTCGCACCACACCTGAAAAGTATACAGAAAACTGCTCACGAAAAAAGAAGTTCAAGACGAGGGGAAAAAATCGGCAGATCCCACGTATAGCTGGGAATCTACGTTATGTAAAGCATGCAGAGGGAAGATGACCGTGTCGCAATTTTTTTAATTGAACGACACGTCGTGAAATGACGCTAAATATATGCGCAAATGTTGCACGCGCAGACATGTGTTGAAGAGCTGCGATTGTTTATATATACATTTGTTTGCACTTGCGCTACGATGTCGACTGAATCATGCGTCTTACAGCAACACCAGAAGCTGATATGAAACACTGATGCTCGCAAAGATGCTGGCCCTCGACACTGCTACATAAATCAGCTTCACCGCATGGCAACTAACCACAATCGACGTTGATCCGACGTGACAGCTGTATAAAAGGAGTACATATGTATTGTTTATAGAATTGTGTAGGCAGCACTGCAACCACTATTTAAGTTTCACGAAGATTAGAGTCTATTGGAAAAGTACTTCCGAGACCTGGCTTAGCTCTGTGGTAAAATGCTTCATTGTCACGTAGAATGCTTGGGTTCAATTCCAGCTTGGACCCTGACATTTATTCTTTGCATTCGTCGGGTCGACGCTACCGATGTCGTGTACTTCTTGACGCTGGAACGTCAAAATTGCCCATGTGTGTTTTCGTTGTTCCCGGGTTGATAACCTGTGGCACATACCTGCATACCAGTGGCACATACCCGTCCGCGGGTATGTGCCACTGTCTGGCGGGAATTGTTCGACGACGTACGTGACGGGATTGTGACATTATTCATGTCTTGACCAGTGCGTCATATTCGTCAAATCAACTTACCCTCCCGTGCCCTCCCTTGGTTCACAATAAGTTAAGAGAGTGACCACGAGAGCACCCAAACGCAAGCGGATAGATAGATAGATAGATAGATAGATAGATAGATAGATAGATAGATAGATAGATAGATAGATAGATAGATAGATAGATATATAGATAGATAGATAGATAGATAGATAGATAGATAGATAGATAGATACGCTCAAGGTCGCTGAAGTTCGCTAAGAAATGCTGCACATTTAAAAAACTGCTCACGAAAGGAGAAGACTACGAGGAAAAGGGCAGAACGCGAACTCGTGCCCAGATCGATTTACGGAAGAGAAAAGCGTAGGTAGAGCTAGAGAGGAGTAAATCAAGAGTATAATCAACAGATAAACTCCAATAGGAAATACACCCCATGCGGAGTGTTATCAACAACGCTGTCTATTCCACAACACATTTGAAACATCTTGCATAGAAGAGCGGAGAAGCGAATTAGAAAAAAAATGCGCAGGACAAGAAGACGAGCAGTCTTTAAACCTTACAAGCCTCTTTTTTTACCTCCCACAACAATAATAATCTCTCTTGGTTGCGTTTCTTTTCCTAAAAATTTGGTGCTGTCTGGTTTCTCGTGAAAAATACTGCCATGCTAGGAACTAGAGCGCCTTCAGTGATACAATAAAGTATCACGAATACAATAAATCTCCTCTTCTCATCTAACATTTAAACTATATTGTCGTGAAATTAACATGTTATTATTCTTCTATTCAATAAATTAGCGTCAAGAACTGCCGAATGTATAGTTCTCAGCCGTCCAACTTCGCTATAACAAAATAACACCGGGACCATAAGCTGGTCTTTTATATCCGATATTTGTTGTGACAGCTGACATACCAATCGACTCAAACAAATTGGCAATCTCGCGTGAGCAAAAATTTTTGACATAGAAGTGCAATATTTTGGGCTTCAAGTTCCCTACTGGGGAGGTAATCATTACCTGCCAATTAGTCGCATTTCAGAATGGACACATCGGAACTTTAGAAGATGAAATTACGGCAGAATAAAGTTCGTTTGACACAACAGGCTTGCGCTGACACTTATTTAAAAAAGGATGTGGTCCTGAAAATAAAAAAAATGCACGGCAAGTAACCATCTCAAGACAGACGCACGGTATAAGCACAACCTTGCTTCTCTCTACGTCTTCGCTGTCGGCCACCTTGGTCTCGGCAGAGAACGAGAAGACACGTGGAAGTTCGGGAAGCCGCGCCCTCTCGGCTCCCTCGCAGAAGAATCCCACCGGTTCCTGTAAGTATATGTGAAGACGCCCATTTCAGCATGACTCATGTTGGCTGGACAAGTCGGTATGAATCCATGGTAAACTCAGGGCCACTCGGAAACAAAACCACGAAGGAAAGGGGGAAAATCGGTCGCGTACCATCGTGTTTCGCTGGAAATGTTGTCGAAAGACGATAGTGTTCTATGCGATGGCACTGCGTTAGAGTTACTGTACATGACACCTTTAGGTAGCAGAGTTGCGTCAAGATACGCCATCTTGGGTTCAAAAGTCTTGCGGGAAAGCCACTGCACCACCCGCGTAAGAGCTGCGCTTGCACTTCAGAGTACTAGCGTTGCTTGTTTTACGTTTTCGCTATATTTTTATTTGTTATGATGGCCAACGCTAGGCAGGGAGCATCCAGACTGTGGCTAGGCAAAATGCAGCCAGAAGGAAACAAAAAATTATATTTACGACGCATGCACAGATGAAGAAGAGGAAGCCTCTGACGCTAGATGCGCCGGCTTTGTACAGGCGTCGAGACGCTGAAAAAGGAGGGGGCAGCACCTCCAGTGAGACGCGTCCAGCGTCTCTGTGGGACGCACCCAGTGTCGGTGAACGACCCACCCAGTGTCCGTGACGGACGGACGTGGTGTCTGTGCGAAGGACGCCAGCACGTGAATAACACTGCGAAGCATCGGCGTCGGCTGCGTAGTGTTGGCTTCTCCGCAGTGCATTTGAACCACCTGTGAACACGTGATGGCACGCGACCAATAGCCTTGCTGGAATCGTCAAAAACCGGGTGAGCGGCGCCCGGAAAACACTGGCGCAACCATACAGTAACTCTACACTGCATTATATATGGACGCCATCTGGCAGTAATGCCGGGAAACGAAAGCTTGTGAAGAACGCAGAGCCACTGGTAGATGGCAGCACCATGTCGTCTTAGCGAAGCGTAGCATCGCATTGCCAGCACAGCGTTATAAGACACACCACGGTTTTTTGAGATTGCGTATCTATGAATTTTCAATTAAGGAAACACACTACCTAATATTTACGTATTGATGTTGCGCCTCAGATTTGAGTAATATGTACTTTTCGATCCACAATGTTCACAAGTATGAACGCAGCCACCAGATCAAATTGTGTAGGCGTTCAGCAGGCTTCAGCTTGCACCGGGTTGCTGAATCGGGTGACAGACAGGCAAACAGAAAGACAAACAGACAAACCAAACTTTCTGCACTGAAGTATCCTCCCAAAAAACTATCGTCTTTAAAACTGGAAGGTGTCTTTACTATTCATCTCATTACGAAACGTGCATTACACACAAGAAAGATATCTTGGCTGAGTCACGGCCTTATGTAAACAGAGGCACGTTAATACAATATTAGTAACCGATTGCAATTACGAGTAATTTGTTTAAAGTTTGATTGATTACAGAGGTCAGTTGCAGCTTCGGAAAAGTAACAGAGGAGCTACGAAAACGTAATGAATCTTTTTACCGCTATACACCATCTATGAAAATTTTATCGCCGCAACACAATAAAAGCAGTTTACTCCGACTACAAGCAACTTCTTTAGCTTGTATGGTTTAGAGAATGTTTGGGGATTTGCGTGAATGTTGTCAGGGTTATTGCGGCTACTGTAATACAGTGTTGCCCACTGTTAACTTTCGACAGAAGTTGTTTTTCAACCATATCGTCGCTCATTCTTCCACTCTTCGTCGCCAAGAGGTCACCTGTTGCACTGAATGCTCTCAGTGTGTATGCTGGGAGGAACGGCGGTATTATAACCCAAGAACACCGTACGCACCAGCTCGTACACGTGCAGTACTTCGGTCACAGTGTCCATGCCCTCTATGAAGCGTCGCGCTTCGCTGTTGCTTGCGCTGGCGTTCATGAAGACAGGACAAGGTACTTCTCCAGGCCTCGTATTGTCGTGTATTCGAGTAATGCGCTGCGGACTCCTGAAGTACAATGAACTATAACCACGCGTGAACGTCCACCCTCCGGAAGTCTGTCGTTCTATCAGCGTCCCGAGTCTATAGCGCTGTATGTTCCCGCCATAATGACGTCCAGCCAGCCCGGTTAGGTGCACTCTATCAGTGTCTGAGCACTTACCTCGAAAATGGTGTAATCTAAGTTCTCCACGTAGTCGGCGAACGTGTAACGAATGGCCTTGTCATCGTCGCACGTCACCAGGGCGTCCAGGGGCACGGAAGGGCATACGCCTTTGTTCGCCGCCTTGTTGTCGCAGTTTGGAGTGATAGCACCGTTCTCTGCGTGGTAGCGTGACAGCAAAATCAACTTACCCTAGTTGCACCCAGTGACAACGAGCGTATAAACAAACCTGTAAGTTAGAAAATTTTCTGCAGAAACAGAAAAGCTGTGGTTCTCCCGTGTTTCCCTCATTATTATCTGTGACGTTTTGCGATGTTGTGCGGATGTTCGTAATTACGTTATTTGTAGGGTGGAGATGCATAAGAAACGATGAGCGGCTGCTCCTGTCACACTTGCCCTCGCTACAGTGTCTTTAGGCTCTATTGAGGCTCGAGGAACCTTTCCCCTTTTCATTGTGCGAATACCTTACACAGTTTGTACCTAATCTTACAATATCGGCCCCCTCAACTCGGAGGCAAGCTCACGTGGTCAACCTTCTCTAACTCCACACAATCCCTTTATCCAGGGCTCAGTACACGGTATTCATCCTATACAAGATTGGGCGCTCGCAGCAGATGCATGTCAAAATGAGCCGGCCAATGGGAGATGAAACACGGTCACTGACCAAGTAGAAACGTGGCACCACTAATAACAGTCACACGACAAATGCCATCGCTGAGCATGTGCATGAACATAATCGCGCCATTGACTGGGACAATGCCTCTGTCATCACCAAGGAAAAGAACATGTCATCCCGCCGGCTCCTGCCATCTCTAATCACCCAGTCAACGCCAGCTTTCACAACAGGGACTATGCCTGCTACCAGCGCATGGTCATTGCGTCCCCCAATAGCTTCGTTAAATTAACAACCACTTCTACTCCAGCTCAGTGAACAAGGAACCTGTACGCGGTTCCGGAAAGTTTGGACTTGGTCAGTGACCATCTTTCATCTCATTCAATACTTGACCAGACAAAATTTCGCCGAACTCTTGACTGTATAACCAATAGGGGAGCTAGTCTATAACGCAACTAAATCATATTTGTCCCTTAAATTTACTATGGTTGGATGCAACTTTATAGGACTCTGCCACATTTTTTCTCAAAACTACATGCGCACGAGCTAATGGGCGTGCACTCCAGATTGACGTCACGAGCTGGGCGGCCTTCAGAAAACATTGTCGAGTGTATGGGAGATATTGAGAAATATGATTTATTTATGCTCAAGACGATCATTTGCCGCGATTTGGTCAACTGGACGAGGCCTCTACAAACCATTATTTAATATTTTTATCAACGATATTGTACGCATTGACAGCTCTGTAGAATATGTAATCTACGCGGATGATACTAGTATATTTTTTTCTGGGGAAACGGCTGATGACCTCATTGTTTCTGCTAATGATATACTAAATGAAATACATGCCTTGACTGTGGCAAATTCTCTACACATTAATTGCTCTAAAAGCAAGGCTGTACTGTTCCGTGCGAAAGCCAGGTCATTTGAAACGTCTCACAAACTAATACTTAATAACGTTAAAATTAAACCTTGTCAAACAGTTAAAACTCTCGGTGTCCATTTTTACGAACACATGGTATGGAATTATCATGCAGAACACATTAGTCACAAACTTTGTAAAGTTCTAGGTGTGTTGCGTCGATGCCAGAACGTACTACCTGTGAAACAAAAACTATTAGTGTACAATGCTCTTTTTTCTTCACATTTACACTATTGTCATCTGGTCTGGTCTACAGGCTCCAAATCATCTCTAAAGAACCTGGTCGTGTTACAAAAAAAGGCCTTGCGGTGCATTGAAGGTGTATCCTATAACGCACACACTGCTTCAATATTTGCAAAATATAGAAGTTTAAGAACTACCTGTTATTACGAATACCAGCTTCTGTCAGCTTTTAAATCAGAAATGCGCAGAGTAAGTATCTTTTTACGCACCTTCGCCACCTTGCAACCAAATCCTGCCAGTCGCGTTACTCGGTGTACGGAGACTTGGCACGTACCTTGTCCTCGCACAAACTATGGATTTGAAACACTACGTTACCGCCTTCCAAGTGTGAAGAACAAATGGAAACTAACAACTGATAATCTGCGTATATTGTCTAAAACTGAAATGTTAATTCGGATGTGCTGATTTTGTTGTAAATGAATGTTTGGGTGATTTCTCTAATGGTTATTCAGTTTTTATTCTTTCATGCATTGCTTTGTTATGAATATTTTTTGTATATATTTTAGAGTTGTGATTCTATTATTTGCTGTCATGGGCCACATGCGTGTTTCTTTTTGTATTGTCGCTTTCCGCTGCCTGTAATTTTTGTAACTTTTTGTAAATTTGTAGTTTAGATTTTTTTTTCTGGGTGAAAGGGCCAGTCAAGCTGTGAAATGCAGCTTTTTTCCCTTCGCACCAAACCACGTATACAGCGTATGTTTGCGTACTTGTCACGTGGTTGAATAAACTCAAACTCAAACTCAAACTTTCTATGCTTCATCCAAAAGATTGTCCCGTGACGTGACATCTCTTCCTAGTCCTTTACCGTTCCTCCGCTATCACAGCCTTCTCTCTCTCCCCGCGCGCAAGAAGATAGTGCATTCTCCTCCGCGCTCTTCTTCAATTCCACAACTCGTGGGGCTTAATGGGATGATATTGCATGCACTTGTATTTTACCCCGAACGTCACGGCGACGGCCAACTTGAGTATTTGAGCAATGGATGTCACAATACAAAGCAATGCCGTTGATTTCCCGGCATGCACTTACTGCTCCAGACTACAGTGGTGGTGCACACATAGCTCTGTCCTTGTAACTTGACAGTGGCGCTCGTTCTCCACTCGTCAGCATCGATCGGCGTTCCTTGGATCTGTTGCTGTTAGGGTAATAAGGCATAACTTCTGTACACTCTGAAGCGACACAAGCACACGAACACGCGCGCATATATGTAACCAAAAATGTTTCTACGGATCAGTGTCCTGTAAAGGTTTAAAGTGACGAACTAACGTAGTATACGAACACGTTCACTTTAATTTGTTTCAGCCCAAAAAAAAAAAACAAAACAGCTTCGAAATAATATATGCGAAAATGAAAATCTAATATGGCTGTCTTCGAACTCTTGGCGAAAAATGAACAATGTCTCCAGCATTGTCTATGCCAGTGCTAATGCAATATGCGTTAGCAAGTTGTAAATGATGTCATAAGCAAGTGAGTCATGAACCCTCGTTACCTTGTCTCCTCCATCGAAGCGGATGAGCGAGTTTGGCGCGTCGTAGAGTTTGCTTCCCTTGGCATCCACACGGAATTTCACCGGAAAGTACGGGTCGTCTTTCTCCGAGTCCGGGATGCCCTTCGTCACGTGACACTGTCTCGTTGATTCTGCATGGCACGGGAGGTGTCGGCGTCATCACTATATTTTGTTAAGTGTGGTCACGTGACACTGTCTCGTTGATTCTGCATGGCACGGGAGGTGTCGGCGTCATCACTATATTTTGTTAAGTGTGTAACATAAAGGAATAGCGAAGAGCCTTCTCTGTACCGCGCACACTCATGCACACTGCGATTGACTTCAGGACTGGCCAATCGACCAATTTGAGTTCAATGCGAGAAAAAGCAACGCCATGACCTTATCCAAGCCCGGCAGCAGCACCAATAATTTTTTTTTCTAAGTTTTTTCCCCCTAGACGCAATGAAAAGTCACCGCTCACGTTACAATCACAATGACGTTACAATAGAGTAAATGCGCTACAAATATGAGAAACATTTTTTTTTCTCTTTAGGGTTCCCTTTGTGTTCCTCGTGTTCCCTTAAACTGTGAGCGAGTTGTGTGCGCTGTTCACCATCGGCCACGTATAGGACGTCGTTGTCGAAGTTGTACAGCTTGATATAGCTGATCCCCTGAGACGTCCGGGAGACGTACAGCCGGTTGCCCAGACCCTGGCCCTGGCGGGTGTAGGCAACCGTGAACGAGTAGAGCTTGTCGTCGAACCACGACTTGAACATAACGTTCATCTTGAAGTCCGCAGGCAGGTACGGCAGTCCCGGTTTCTGGCCTGCGGCAAACGAAAAAAAAAAAAGCTCCAACGGCCATCGACACCACAAACGCACCGTGACCTGAGCCCCTGAGCTGTCTTCACTCGTTCGAGTTCTCTCTTAAATAATGGGTCACGTTTGAATTCTTTCTCACCTGCTTATGCTGTTGAAAGCTTTCTGCAACTATCACGCTATTGCTTTGCCTCCGTGATCAGCCTCCTTTTGACCAAGTGAACTTCCACGTCATCTGATGACATAATCATAAGTCACGATGACGTCAGACGTTTTGCTATATGTGACGTGATAATGTCGTCATATGAAGGCGTCATCAAGAGTTGATCGTTTTTTGCCTCGTGATCGTCTTGATGCCGTCCACGGTCGCTTTTCGCGTTTGATTAGCTAAAGCTTTCGGCTTAATAGCGTTAATGCGTGTCCGGCTATTAGTGGGGGATCGGCATAGCCCGTGGTCTCTGGCGGCGTCCTCGGCCAGCCGGACAGCCCACAACTGCGACCTCAGGGACGCACAGTCTCCAACTGCTTTTCAACACATATTGTGCGGCCCCGTCGGATCACCTGAGCAGAGGCCCACAAATACTGACCTGCATATGCTAAGTCAGATGTAACTGAGATGTTTTCCACTCGTCAGCATCGATCGGCGTTCCTTGGATCTGTTGCTGTTAGGGTAATAAGGCATAACTTCTGTACACTCTAAAGCGACACAAGCACACGAACACGCGCGCATATATGTATCCAAAAATGTTTCTACGGATCAGTGTCCTGTAAAGGTTTAAAATGACGAACTAACGTAGTATACGAACACGTTCATTTTAATTTGTTTCAGCCCCCCAAAAAACAAAAACAGCTTCGAAATAATATATGCGAAAATGAAAATCCAATATGGCTGTCTTCGAACTCTTGGCGAAAAATGAACAATGTCTCCAGCATTGTCTATGGCAGTGCTAATGCAACATGCGTTAATAAGTCGTAAATGATGTCATAAGCAAGTGAGTTATGAACCCGCGTTACCTTGTCGCCTCCATCGAAGCGGATGAGCGAGTTTGGCGCGTCGAAGAGTTTACTCCCCTTGGCATCCACACGGAATTTCACCGGAAAGTACGGGTCGTCTTTCTCCGAGTCCGGAATGCCCTTGGTCACGTGACACTGTCTCGTTGATTCTGCATGTCACGGAAGGTGTCGGCGTCATCACTATATTTTGTTTAAGTGTGTAACATAAAGGAATAGCGAAGAACCTTCTCTGTACCACGCACACTTATGCACACTGCGATTGACTTTAGGACTGGCCAATCGACCAATTTGAGCTCAATGCGAGAAAAAGCAACGCCATGACCTTATCTAAGCCCGGTAATTTTTTTTCTAAGTTTTTTTTTCCCCTAGACGCAATGAAAAGTCACCGCTCACGTTACAATCACAATGACGTTACAATAGAGTAAATGCGCTACAAATATGAGAAACATTCTTTTCTCTTTAGTGTTCCTTTTGTGTTCCTCGTGTTCCCTTAAACTGGGAGCGAGTTGTGTGCGCTGTTCACCGTCGGCCACGTAGAGGACGTCGTTGTCGAAGTTGTACAGCTTGATATAGCTGATCCCCTGAGACGTCCGGGAGACGTACAGCCGGTTGCCCAGACCCTGGCCCTGGCGGGTGTAGGCAACCGTGAACGAGTAGAGCTTGTCGTCGAACCACGACTTGAACATAACGTTCATCTTGAAGTCCGCAGGCAGGTACGGCAGTCCCGGTTTCTGGCCTGCGGCAAACGAAAAAAAAAAAGCTCCAACGGCCATCGACACCACAAACGCACCGTGACCTGAGCCCCTGAGCTGTCTTCACTCGTTCGAGTTTTCTCTTAAATATTGGGTCACGTTTGAATTCTTTCTCACCTGTTTATTCTGTTGAAAGCTTTCTGCAACTATCGCGCTATTGCTTTGCCTCCGTGATCAGCCTCCTTTTGACCAAGTGAACTTCCACGTCATCTGATGACATAATCATAAGTCGTGATGACGTCACACGTTTTGCTATATGTGACGTCATAATGTCGTCATATGAAGGTGTCATCAGGAGTTGATCGTTTTTTGCCTCGTGATCGTCTTGACGCCGTCTATGGTCGCTTTTCACGTTTGATTAGCTAAAGCTTTCGGCTTAACAGCGTTAATGCGTGTCCGGCTATTAGTGGGGGATCGGCATAGCCCGTGGTCTCTGGCGGCGTCCTCGGCCAGCCGGACAGCCCACAACTGCGACCTCAGGGACGCACAGTCTCCGACTGCTTTTCAACACATATTGTGTGGGCCCCGTCGGATCACCTGAGCAGAGGCCCACAAATACTGGCCTGCATATGTTAAGTCAGATGTAACTGAGATGTTTTCCAATATGTTCTGTATCTTGAGGTAACGCGTCGTTCAATGACTGTATAACTCTTTCTCCTGCTAAGAGACAGGGACATCAGAGAGAGGACTGTGTCTCTCTTTGATGTCCCTGTCACTTAGCGCTCAGTATATAGTCAATATTAATACGTATCGAGGCAGTGACCTCTCGTTCTAGAGCGCAGCGCTAACCACTATACGCCACAGAGTATATGTCGCTTAGTTTACTAACGGCGAGCCATTTATACACACCATGTACCGTTGGCCGTCTCAAGAGCTAAGTAACTTCAGCATGCTTCCGTCATTAGTAGCGAGATCGCGTGAGGAGCGCGCGTTGGGTAAGGCCCTTCTAGCGTTGGGTGAGCGTTGGGCACTCGTGTTCTACATGTCGCCGCATCCCCCCCCCCCCTTGCGCGTTGCGATGCCTCCGCATGGTGTGGTCAAAATGCGCATAGATATTTTCTCTGGCATGGCCGCCCACGCACGCGCGCAAGCACTTCTTTCGGGGTTTGGGCGTTTTGTACTTCTTGTGCTTCCACCACAAGTTTGATTTGAAGTTACAGTGGCTAAAGAGAGAGTGAAGGTCACTTCGTTTGCAGCCTTGGCCACGTTTACGAAAGGAGCGCGCCGCTCACACACGAAGGAAATAAGAATTGTGACAGTCGCTGGCGCCGGTCCAGCGTACAGTTTTACGTACATTTGCGTGCGTCTTTCTTTTTGTTTGAGCAGCGTGCTTTGAGTTTCGAGTCGTGACGGTTGTTTGTCTGCGCTCGTACTTATGTATGATAATTTCGTGCGCGCCTTCTGCTTGAGGTGCGCGCTGCAAGTTTCGAGCTGCTTGCCGTTCTTCGCGTGAAATTGCAATTTGTTGCTGTTGCATTTGTTGCTTCGCGGTGAAATAATGTACGATAATAATGCTCAACTACCTCTGTGGATACACGTTTCACTTTCGTGTTATACCGATTCCTAAAAAGAGGGATGAGCCATGCTTTTCTTTTTTTTAACGGGTGGGTTTCTCCCACAAGAAAACTGTAACCGGGGCTCGGCGTGAGCCGTGGGCAGGGGTCACGGGGAGACATCGAGATAGCTTTAGAACTTTCCGATAAGATTGCGCACCCGACACGATTAGTCAAGTTTGTATTGAAGCTAACACAACTAACAACGATCATGCATTTTTACAAAGCGAGATGCCTTTTATTCATGAGACTGTGCATCTAATGTATTCTCTCGACGACCGATGAATGTGGCCACCGCTATCGTTACACTTTAGACGCTTTCTCTTCCTGGAATCAGATTCGCCCAATAAACAGCCCAATACTTTCCGGTTTGAGTATGCTTCGCCATCACGACCAGGTGATGCGAGTGTTGACCCGACCACCTAGAACTTTTCGTTTCTCTTGATGTAAACCCCAATGACGGATGCTCAAAAAAATAAAAGAAAAAAAGTGACCGCTGAGTGAGCTGCACACTTGAGTATGAACGCCGAGTTGTTTCGCTAAATTAAGTTTTATTAGTGAAGTGTATCGGTTGACATCATTTAACCATATGGTGTAGTAGCGAAATTTTCACGGGGACAAAGAGAACAAGAACACACGACACTCGCTACATCGGTATACATCGGCCAGACGGGTCGATGTTTGAACACCCCGACTTTTAGAACACAAGCGATCATTAAGAACTGACATTCATTCTCACATAAAGAGACACTGTTCCCAGTGTGGCTGCTCACCACTGTTCAGTGACACGACCGTAGTCTTCCGTCATGGAAACCAACTAACCAGAGAAATTGTCGAAGCCTTCCACATTAAAAAAAGAAAAGAAGGATGCATTAGTCAGTCATCGGTTTCGTTAAGTGACCGAAATTGAGATCAGTGTTTGCATGTGTCATACTCTCCTTTTGGTCGTTTCAAAATGTTGTTTCAAACACGTGTGAATTCCCGCAAATTTTTTTTGTTTTTTTTTTTATTTGATGTTACCCAGGACTGTTTTTAGTTATGTCATCTTAAAGTGTAAGCGTAACTGCCGTGTACTATCGCTTGAGTCTGCGCAAAAGCTTCTGTTGGCAATGATTCAATGTTTGTAGTTCTTTTCTGTATCGCTAGGGTTATGGGTTATATATGATGTGCTGCTTCTGAAATAAAATTAGTTGCGAGTGTAGCGAGTGTCGTGTGTTCTTGTTCTCTTTGTCCCCGTGAAAATTGCGCTACTACACCATATGGTTAAATGATGTCTCACCAACTAGCCCAGCTCTCAACCCTACTGTATCGGTTGATTTCATTTATATGTGGGGTTTAACGTCTCAAAACCTCCATATGATGATGAAAGACGCCGTAGTGGAGGGCTCCGAAAATTTCATCCACCTGTGGTTATTTAACGTGCACCCAAATATAAAGGGTATCGGTGCCACGACGTTTTGGAAGAGCTCATTCACATTAAGGTTTCCTCAAATGCGCCCGGTACTGCGGCAACGAGCGTACAAACAAACCTGTAAGTTGAACCGACTCGAAGTTGAAATTTAGAAAGCAAGCACTGACGACGGCATAGGCGAGTCACGTGATTATGGTGCATGATTATGCACGTGGTTATAGTGCTCGACTTCTCACGCGCAGGTCACGAAATTGAATCCAAGCCACGGCGGCTGCATTTTCGATACAGGCAAAAACGCTCGCGGCCCGTGTACTTAGGTTTAAGTGCACGATAAAAAACTCTGGCTGGTTGAAATTTCCAGAGCCCTCCAGTACATGGCACCTCTCATAATCGTATCGTGGTTTTTGGACGTTATATCCCATCAGTAATAATTATTATTATATGTAAAGCAGCTCTTTTACTAGCCTGTGTAACGCTGTCCGTCCGTGTCTCCGTGCCAACGCACCGCACCGCATTCCCCCCCACCAAAATAGTTGGAATGATGCCAAGTAGGTAACGGTCGTTCCATGCACTAGCCGCACAGCCACAACGCACGTGCCGGTACACCTGCCGCACCCAAGCAGAGGGTGAAAGAGCGTCGCCAATTGGCTTACGTGTCACCCGCTTGCGTGCGGCAGGGGTCCCGGCACGTGCGTTGCGGCTGTGCGGGTAGCGCGTGGAACGGCCCTTAAGTCGCAGCTGCGCGTCGCAACCACCCATAACGCTCGACCGCATGTATTCTGAAAATACTCTTTCGGCTCGTTTATCTGCGATGAAACTTACACAAAACCCAACCCACCTCCCGTGTTTGCGTTTCAAAAAAAAACGTTTACTCGAGTAAAGGCTACAACGAGCTTCCCTTGAAACCGTTCTTCCAGCACCCGCGCACCCGCGTTGACGCGGGTTTAAGCCGGTCCAACAGCGTGCGCCTGCTCCTGCTTCGCATCCCATCATGATTTCCTTCGGGGAGATGGTCTATATTTTTCCCCTGGTGTAACGTCCGCGCCACAGGAGCTAAGATAAAGAAAGTTGATTGATTGATTGATTGATTGATTTGTGGGGTTTAACGTCCCAAAACCACCATATGATTATGAGAGACGCCGTAGTGGAGGGCTCCGGAAATTTTGACCACCTGGGGTTCTTTAACGTGCACCCAAATCTGAGCACACGGGCCTCGACATTTCCGCCTCCATCGGAAATGCAGCCGCCGCAGCCGGGATTTGAACCCGCGACCTGCGGGTCAGCAGCCGAGTACCTTAGCCACTAGACCACCGCGGCGGGGCAAGATAAAGAAAGTGGTGGTCAATATATGGCAGTGTGTGACTCTTTACTTCTCAGTGCAACACATGCGTCCAATGAAGTAGGCCGACAGATAAGCACCCTTTCGAACTTATTGTTCTCCGTTGTACAGGGATACGTTACTGCACAAGCTGCAACTGAAAGTGTTGCACAACACTTATCTTGGCACACGATTTCTTTTCGCCGCTGCCACTCGTGAATTTATCAGGCCGCAGATATTCTACATAGCGCTTTAAAGACCAGAGTTTTATCTGCTAACAAAAGGTCGGGCAATCACCGGAAATAGCGAAACACCGGGCATTTATCCAGCGGCCCTGAATCGGGCATGAAGCAGAAATTTCAGTGGATGGGGTGGGGGAGGGGCAGGTTTTAACGCAGTGGGAGTATGGCGAGTTATCAGAAGATATTAGCATAATATTAATCAAATGTGAAGGCTAGTTAAAAGTATTCGAAAGTGGTAGTTTAATGACTGCCTCGTGAAGGCGGGACTATCACCTGTGTTCTCTTTAGTGTTCGCAAAAGGCAGGGGTGGCGCCAACAGGGGTTATAGGGGGCCAGGAGCAGCACTGCTCCCGAATTCTCGCCAGCCCCTGCTTTGTCCCCTATACAGACACTATCATAACGCAACCCATAAGTTCTCCACATCCCTGCCACCTTTAAACGCTTCCAACACCCCTGCCAA